TTGGGTTCAGCGAATCGGTCCCGACTAGGAAGTTCTCTGATCCGAGATTTTGGTGGCTTAGGAGCCACACGATCTTGAACCAACATCAGATTCAAGCACTAAACCTCCAAAACCCAGAAACAAGACTCTAAATCAGAGCTACCAAAATCAAATCAAACACAAAGATTAGTGTAATTTTCCTTTCCAGGGCAAACAAAGAGAGACTCTCTGCAAATCGGTTGTTGTCGGAATTGGAGGTTGCTTATGCTTCAATCCAATGCAAACTGCGAAAGCGAAGTCGTTGGTTGAGCTGCGAGGTCAATGTCTTCCCCTTTTGGGAATTTCTTAGTAATTTTTCTCTTCCTTTGTTTGTTGTTTACGTTTTGATTACTGAAACACTACAACAATGCCTACATCACTGATCTATCTTTCTATGCATAAAGAGACAACAACTATAGAGCAGATCTGTAGGACCAGAGAAACCATCACATGGTTGAAAAAGGTAAATATTAATAATCTAATCAGTTTATTAAAGGGAATATTGCAAAATCTACCACATTTCAATAACTGGCATTCAAAATCTACCACAATTTCAAAAAGCTTTCAAAATCTACCATATTTCAATAGCACATGTGGAATGCTGGACCAAAATACCCCTGATTGGGACAGAGTCTGTGTCAGGGACAGAGTCTGTGTCAGAGACAGAGACAGTTTTGTCTGGCGCTTCCAAAGAAGGAGCAGGTCTGCAATAAATGCTGCACAGTTATTTAAATAATATGTTATATCAGGGACAAATTCAGATCTAATGAGTAATATAATTAGATCATGGACAATTTCAGATCGAATGGGTGATATAATTAGATCGAGGACAAGTTCAGATCGAATGGGAAATAGAATTAGATCGGGGACAAGTTCATATCGAATGAGTAATAGAATTAGATCGGGGACAAGTTTAGATCGAATGAGTAAGAGAATCAGATCGAATATGTTATATCGGGGACAAGTTCAGATCGAATGAGTAAGAGAATTAGATCGGGGACAAATTCAGATCGAATGGGTAATAGATATAGATCGAGGACAAGTTCAGATCGAATGGGTAATAGAATTAGATCGGGGACAAGTTCAGATCGAATGAGTAATAGAATTAGATCGGGGACAAGTTCAGATCGAATGAGTAATAGAATTAGATCGGGGACAAGTTCATATCGAATGAGTAATAGAATGAGTAATAGTACTCATGGACAACTGGATATTTTTGTTATTTTGCAATAGAAAGAAAAAAAAATTCAATAATCCGGGTAGGTGAAGACAATAATGCTCAACTAATCTGTGGACCAAAATATATGGTGAAAAATCTAAATAAAATTCGAAACCATTAAATGAGAATAATTGGTGGACAAGATGTGGAATTCATGATAATAGAGCAAGATGATGAAATCGGGGACAAGATCTAGACGCAACAGAGAATTTCCAATCGGGGACAAGATCTGGAGACAAAAACGAAAGTTAATTGTTTAGTCTCATGAGATATAATGTTTCTTGGTTAAAGTGCACGTGTTTCGAGGAAGAGAGTGATAAATAGGAAAGCTAATGTTGTAGGGAAGATAAATAGGGAGGAGAGATAAATAGGGAGGGGAAATAATTAGGGAGGAAAAATAAAAGGGAAGATAAAAAGGGAGGGCAAAATGGTAACTCTACATCGAAATGTGGTATGAGTTGAAAGAAGGGAAGGAATGTGGTAGATTTTGAAAGAAATTGGGAATAAGTGGTAGATTTTGTAGTTTTTCCTTTATTAAATTATCTGATTTATTTGTTTAACTGATCTAATTTATTTGTTTAATCACAAAACATTTGCTATTTCAAGAAGATGTGGAAGAAAAAGAATAAACGTATTGGACTACGTAGACCAAATACGTGTTATTACGTTTAATACTAAATAATTTTGCTGAGATAAGCGTGTTTGTCAGCTTTTTACTGCTCAACTGTGTATTATACAAAGAATCAACACTTGATATACAATGAAGAAAGAGGAGAGACAATTTTATGCAGCTTGTCTTTCACCAATAGTCTCCACAGGAGCAAGTTCCATTCTTGAAATGATGGAACCTCCTAACATCTCTCAAGATGATTTCTCTGTCAACAATCTTTGAGATAAACTTTGTTGCAAGATGACAGTCATTACAAACCCTGAGGTTTTTAGCCACCCTAATAATCGTGCCCGGAGATGTGTTAAGTATCCCAAACGCAATTGCTAGCTTCTCACTGTGTCCACAAAGCAGAATCTCTTTTTCATCTTCTTCTACATTGTGAAGCACACAAGATGTGTCAGGTACATATCCTTCTTTTCTCATTCTCTCCCACAAGGTCTCTAGATATCCACGGAGCTTTTCGCTTTGCGGGTGAGATGAGTCACCGGCTACGAATTTATGTACTTCATCGCCATGCTCAATCCAGCTACATCCAGGTTCTTTTCTCACGCCTTGCGCTTTCATATTTCTCCTTACCTCTGTTGCTTTATCCCAGAGGCCTGCTGATGAATATATATTGGCAAGTAGCACATAGTGACTAGCTACATTTGGTTCCAACTGAATGAGGTTCTGAGCAGCAATTTCTCCAATCTCTAGGTTATTGTGAATCCGACAAGCACCAAGGAGGCTACTCCAAGCTCCAGCTTTGTCGAAATTTCGAGGAATCAGGTTGATGAGTTGATGAGCTTCTTTGACTCTGCCTGCCCTTCCTAGCAAATCTACAACACAAGCATAATGATCTGAGCTAGGTTCAACACCGTAGTCCTTCTTCATATTGTAGAAAATCCTTAATCCTTCATTCACCATGCCTGAGTGGCTACAAGCTGCAAATACTGAAATGAATGTAACCTCGTTAGGTTTTACTCCCTGAACCATCATCATTCTTAGCATATCTATGGCGTCTTGGCTGTTCCCGTGCATCCCATACGCCATTATAATCACATTCCAGGTTATAACATTTCTGATAGGAATCTGATCAAAAACTTTTCTCGACATCTGTAGGCACCCGCATTTTGCGTACATGTCAACTAAAGCGCTTCCCACAGCCACATCAGTTGCCAAATTGTTCTTGATGGCATAAGCATGGATTTCTTTTCCTTTTGCTAATGCTGATAGTGCAGCACAACTGGGGAGGATTGTCATCAGAGTGATGGAATTAGGTTTCAGAATAACTCGGCTAGCTCGCTCACTTGCTTTTCTTTCGAGGATTTGCATCTTGTGTAGCATAAGAAGCGCGTCCTCATGGCGTTCTGAGAATACATAACCCGTAATAATTGTGTTCCATGTTACTAAATCTCTATGTTCCATTTTACCGAATATCCGCTTGGCAATATTGATCTTTCCCAGCCTAGAATACATATCCATCAGTGCATTCTGCACAAACCTGTCTCTATCTAAACCTCTTTTTACAACAAATCCATGGATAGCTTCCTTTTTGGAGAACGCACCAGAACGGACACAAGCAGGAACAACACCTGCCATTGTGGTTGAGTTAGCCAGAAGCCCAGCACTTTCTTCCATTTCAATAAACAGCAACAACGCTTCCTCGTCATACTCGTTCTGGGCATAACCAGTGATCATAGCATTCCAAAGACCAATCTTTCTATCAAACATTCCATCAAATACTCGACGACCACTCAAGACTTGCTTGCAATTGCAATACATGTCAACCAAAGCACTGCCAACAAAAGAATTCTCATCCAAAGAGCCATTTTTCAAAGCATAGGCATGCAATTCTTTCCCTGTGCGAAGCATCTCCAAGTGTGAACAAGCAGGAAGAACACTTGAAATAGTGAAGCCATCTGGTTCAACACCTTCAAGCACCATTTCACGCAAATACTCCAATGCTTCAAGAAACTGCTCGTTCTTACATAAGGAGCTCAACACAGTGTTCCATGTGACCAAGTCACGGCCTTCAAAAGATCCAAGCAAGACTTTGGAAGATGCTAATTTTCCCATTTTACCATACATAGCCACCAATGTGTTGATAATAAACGAATTCAATTCACCCTTTCTCAAACTATAGGCGTGAACCTGCTTACCCATCACTAATCCCTCGGGCATAGGCAAATTCGAGCAAGCAAGAGCCACACTCACCAAGGTAAACGAACTAGGCTCCACATTTTCATCCAACATACACCGAAATGCTTCTAACGCCATTTCCCACTTCTCAAAACTACACAAAGAAGAAATCAAAGAATTCCAAGAGACTTGGTTTCTCTCAGATATTCTATCGAACACCTTATACACAGCCCCGAAATCTCCACACTTTCTATACAAATTCACAAGGGTATTAGCTACAGTCACGGAATCCACTCCATACCCAAATTTATACACATGGGCATGAATCTGTTTCCCCAAATCCATGTCCTGAAGATCAGCGACAGCTTTCAACAAAGCAGGGAACGCAAAATTATCAGGTTTTATACCCAAAACAATCATGTTAATGTAAGTCAAGACGGCTTCACGGAGCAAATTAGATCGAACTTTGGACCGGAGCAAGTCAATCCACCACTCCGGAGAGTGTGATTGAGTGATAATTTTCGAAGGTGCGCCATAAACGGCGGAGGCAACATCTTCGGTTGCAGAGGTTGGTGTGGCGCGAAGAAGATAAGAAGGTTTGTGGCGGGAAAATGGAAGCGGTTGAGAAGGAAACGGGAGAGAGAAGGTGAAGGCAAGAGGACATGACATGAAGATATTTCTCCGAAAATATCGTTATATATTTAATTAACTATAAAAAAAATTCGAGTTTCGTGAAGATTTCTGATGTACTGTATCAGTAATGCGTAGACGAGGCGAGGAAGACGAAGAAGGAGATAGAGGATATATATGGGCTAAGAGGCCTTTAATGGGCCTAATATATGGGCTCACCAATTATTATGCCACATAAGTCGCTGCAATATAACAGTGTGTGCATGAATTGTAGTGACTAGTGAAAGTTAGAGAGAGAAAGAGGAATTCAAAAACAAAACAAAATCAGATCATCGCGCCATTAGCAGAAGCTCAGAGAAAAGCTTCACTCGGAAGAAAAACTCAGAGATGGCGAAGTATCCTTCTGCGATTGAGAGATCAGTGGCTTCGTCTCTTCTTCTCCTTTCCTATGGACCAGTGTTCTTCTCACCTACAAGGTTCGCATAACCCAATCTCGTTTCAATTTCTGTGTTAATTGTGAGGCTCGCGGTTTCAGATCTGTGTTTTCTTCCTCGTTTTTACTCGTTTGGTTACGATTATCGTCTTGGGTGATTATTAGGTCGGAATCTGTAGAGGAATCGAGCTATGTGAGGAAGTGGTGTGACGAAGGAAGCTCGAACCTGAGCTTGAAGTTGGGATCTAGCGGATCGAGATCTTGTGGCTCGGCTTTGTCCAGCGATGGTTCGTTTGGGATGAGTGAGGATCGCGGATTCAAAATCAATTATACTGGAGATCCGTTTCATCTCATGAATTTCAAGGTGCGAAACTCTTCTTCTTCACGTCTCTGTTTTTCAGAGTTTTCGTTTGGTTGTTGTTATCTAGATCTGAATTTGTGCTTAAGAAATTCGAAATTCTGAGAGATTTTATTGACTAGTAACTTCTATTTGTTGATTTCTTCCGTTTGTGCTAGATTTTTGAAGTTACTGTTTCGTTCTTCAACCTGAATGATAATCGCTAGCTCTTAGATGTCCCAATCTTGAATTAGTAATTAGTTTACCAGAAACGGATCATTTCTGGAATTTGAAATTTCTAATTTATGACGCTTTGTTATGCTCTGATTTTAGTAAGAAACATATATTTCAGAGAACAAAACTTTGAGTAGGGTGATTTTCATTGATTATGCAGACAGCGAGAAAACGCCGATCTCAGGTCATTTGGGGATCCTTCAATTTTAAGCCAACACATTTGATGATGAATCCTGCGTGTGATGTTCTCTCAACATGCTCTGTTGAATCCAAAGATGAGTCATGCTTGTCAACTGGTTCAAGCGAGGTTTCTAGCGTAGAAAGCAGAATCAAAGTCAGGAATCAGAAAAGCAATGAGAAGCTAAGAGGAGAAGGGAAGAAGATGAAAGAAAGTAGCAGGTCGAGTTCTATTCGCCGTAGAGCCAAAGACATCTTGGAGTTTCTTTCCTCTGAATCTTCTTCCGAAGTTCATATCCGTCAGATTCTTGGCGACAGTCCCGATACCAGTAAAGCTCTCAGAATGTATACTTACTATGCTTCTCTCTCACATAACAACAACACACACTAACCCATACTTGTTACAAGTTTTATCCATGAATTAGGTTTCATTTTTTAGTTAAGCAATACATTTTCAAGTCTCTTAGCACTGATCAAGTTCTGATGCAGGTTGTTGAAGATGGAGGAAGTGAAGAGGTTTGGCACAGGAGGAAGACTTGATCCCTTTATTTACAAGGTATGAAAGTTAAACTTTCACATCCTTCATTGTGATATATAATTTAGCAATAAGTACCTTAAATTGATCTTTTTGCCTCCTTATTTTTCTGTAGATTGCATGAAAGATTAAGACATTAATGCTGGAGGCAGGTAACACTTATACCCCCCTTTCCCCACCATCTAGTTATATAAAGTTTGATCCTGATATGGATTAGGAAAACGAAAACTATAACGGGATTACGGGAGTTTATATATATAGCTAGATATATATGGTCTAAAACGCTCGCTATATAAGAAGTGGCTCTGTTACATACAGAGAAATAACTGAAGTAACTATATAAAATATAGAACCGATGTTAGTTATTATAAGATATCATGGTTGTTTGCTTGTTTGAACCTCGGCCTATTGGTTGATTCCTTGTGAGCTGTTAAATACTATTATTGGTTGATGACTTACTACTTCACTAATCTAGTATATGTGATTTTGCAAAATATATTTTAAATCATACTAATGGGATAGAGCAAAATAATCAAATTTCACTGGATTATCTTCTACGAATTTTCGGTGCATGATGTATTGCTTACAACATGTGTTATGTTTATCTTACAAAGACTAAATCAGTCTTGATTTATTTTAAAATTACAAATTTAAATCACTAGTTAGGGAATCAAATTACTTTAATTATATAGTTCATTTAAAATTCTGTGAAAAAAAAAAAAAAAAAAAATTCTGTGAAAAAGTAGTTTAATCTAAGTTTTTTTTTAACAACTTTTTAATTTAAGTTTTTTTTGGATATAATATCTAAGCATATTAAATTTCAAAGTAGTACTTATATTAGTCCAAAATTTTAGATTAAAAAAGTGATCTAATTAAGATTTTAGACTAAAAAGTGATCTAAAACTTAAAAGCTAGCTGACCTACATAAATCAAGTGACAATTGTAATTTGTTGTGACATTTGTAAGTTCATAATGGTACGTGTCATGTTATGTTAATTAAGTTTGAAATATTAGATGTAAGAAAAAAAGAGATTCAAAATTAAATTCTTACGGGAAAAAACATACGTTACAATTAAAAGTCGAAAAGTGTTAAGTCCAAAGGTCAATTAGAGCGCAATTTGAGTCCAGAAAAGTCGATGAAAAATGTCCATCCATCGAGAAATATGCTTAAAGTAAACGCTTACTTTTCAAGCGACTTTCACGGTATTGCCGCAGTCAAAAATACGCGGCGACTGTTTGGTTGGGGTATAGTGACGACCCACACTCACGCGGATTCATTAATTTTCTAATTAATTATCACAAATAAGAAAAAAGGAACGTGAAATAAATTTGTTAATTAAAAAAAAAAAAAGGAAAAGGAAACTGACAAGAAACGCTAAACTGATTCCTTCCTTGTACTCAAAAAACGTTAATTTACAGCTCAGAATAAGTTTTTCAGTTTCCCCTAATATCGACCCTATATTTTTATGAATAAGATTTCAGTCCCAATACTTTTTTAATAAATTGCAATCTTACCCTAATCAGTCTTTATCTGGAAATATTATTCTATATCTTATATAAGTTATATTATAGGTCATGGAAACAATAAACTACTAATCACTTATGGAATGGTAAGATTAGAGAGAGATTTAAAAAAAACAAAGAAAGGGGCAAATATGAAATAAAATAAAACATATGGGAGCCAAGGGAAAAGTGCAAGAAAAGCAATTAAATAATAAAAAAACCCTCAAAAAGAAGAAAGCGGAGACTCGTTCGCTTTTTCCTGCCTCTTATAAATTGAACGCGACTTTGTAAAACCTTCCTCATCGTCTCCGTCCTCTCTCTCTCTTCACGAGAAAGAGCAGAAAAAAAAAATTAGAAAGAAGAATTTAGAAACAATAGATTCTTCAAGGAAATGGGGAAATACACGGAGATGTTGGACGTCGGCGTGAGAATCGCGGCGAGGTTTCATTCACACTGTCCTCAGACAGCTCGTCTTTATTACCATCCTCCATCCGACGGCCATCACCATCACGGCGGAGTCAAAGATCTAATCGGAGGTGTTGGGGTTTTGGGGTCGGGCCAAGATTCGACCGGTTTGGTTGGTGGTTTAGGAACCGGAACTACGGGTGGTTGCGGTATCAAATCTTCTCAAGGATACGATGACGCTAGAGATCTCTTGTTATTCTCTGTTATTTGATTTAATTTATTTGACGAAATATTGGTTGGTGCGGGAGAGAGATTTCATGAGCGTTTGGTTGTGCTTTTTTAATTATTATTGAGAAAACTGTATGTTCTTGAGAGGATTTGTGATACTATTTAATCATCTCTGGATTCCAAAATTTTCTGGGGATAAATTGGATGTTGATGAGAAATTAAATTTGATTAATTTGTTGTTCGATTCTGTTCTTAATTATTTTTGTTTGACTTCGTTCGGATTTAGGTTGCCGCATCTTTGGTTTAAACCCTAAATTTATTGTCGAAGACTTTTAGTCTTTTACCCTTTCGGTGATATTAAATTCCTTGCCTACAGCTGCAAGTTGATTATGAGCAAAATCTTTTAAATTATCAGCTGTTTATTACTATTATATTGTGGATTTCTTAAGAATATATCAACAATTGGATCAATCCTATCATTCGTTGAACCACACCCGAAGATTCTGGAGCTAAACAATGAATGATTCGCCGATTTTGGACTATAGCATCTTTGCTGTCCCAATTGTTTAACAAATACGGAAGAACTGATTTGCTATGAAAGATCGAATTAAACAAAATTATAAAAGATTTCACAATTCAACAACTGAGCCAAAAAGATTTGGTAGGTTAGACAATTCCACAATTCAACAACTGAAGTAGGTAACAAGTCTTTGTTATTGTCTTTGTTCGACAAAAGCTACAATCAACAGAGCTTAAACGATAAAGCTCTGTTTTCTAATACAGATTCAAGTATAAAATGTCGTTTTGGGATATAAGTGTTTGTTTGTGTATATATTACTTGAAAAGAATTGTGGGATCTCCTCACAGTTTCAGCTGGCTACATCCTTTCAACGATCCGTAAAGTGATTGAGACTTTCTGAAACCAACAATGTCTTCGATTTCTACGGATGGTGATACAACTTTGTCCTTGTCAGATGGCATTTCCTTCAAATGCTGGTTTCCGTAAACGCGTACGCTCAGCGATTTCTTTTTTGGTGCGCCAACCTTTATGTATTCGTCGAAAAAATCTATCAATTCTTCCTTCTTTATCTCTCTCAGAGTAGCCACCTAACCGCAAAATAAACCACAATGAGATGTGTTATATATTGGCCTCAACTATCCAAAAAGGTAGACTGACGAAATTTGCATTATGGAAGTAAAGAGGTTTCTTCAGAGTTTGTCTATTACCTCTGCGTCTATACGGTTGAATTTGAGTGTCCCTTCTTGAATCTCTCCCCAGTAAAACAAGGATTCTTCGCTCAAGTTCTTGTGCTTTTCAAGCTTCATGTCTATCAAAGCTGTTACATTGCTCTGTGGAGCAAGTCAATGTTTAGTTCCAGCAAAGCATTATAAATCATCTATAATATCTGGTTGGGCCTCCTCACCTTAAATTCCTCATCACTCATCTTGTAAAGTTTACTCTCAAGATCCTTGAGTAGTGACTCGACCCTCGAATCTACATGTCCAGGACCCTATTAATGAAAAAAATCAAGGGGATTAAGGAGATATAAGTAAACTAGAAAGGGTTATGCAAAGTCCGATGGAAAAGAGGCAAGACAGATTGGTTGTTTGGTACCTTGACTGAAGACTGGATAATGAACTGTACACCATAGACACCAGAGTCGTTTCTACGTCGCAGCAAAATGATTATTTATGTGTCAACAATAACTGATCAGGAGCATTCAAAAGTATGAGAAATTCTTATGTACCTTTGAGAAAGTGAAGTGATGTAACCAAGTTGCTCAATCGTTCTAAGCTGGTGAAACGTGGCTTGCTTTGCAATTAGTTCGAAAAGCTGAAGTTTACTATTCATGGAAAATTCATCTTGATGAACCTATTCGTGGTAAACCAATTTCCATTACCAAAAATACGAAGGTCAATAAGAAGAAAAACTCGCAAAGAGTCTAAGTAACAAGATCTACAAGAAAAGCTTTATAAGATAATGCAAAAAATTGGTTGATGATACCACTTAGTTCCAAGGCTATCCTACTAATCTTGTCACATGTATACCTGGATATAATGCACTAGAGCAGAATTTTCATCGCTGGGGTTTGAGCCTTCTTGATGGTAGAAGTATTTCATTCCTGTTCCGAGCTCTGCAACTCGGCTTGTCAGGAACTGGGATGGATATAACGGACGACAGATAGGTTTTGGGTCCTTAAAGAGAACATCTTCAATATGCTTGACCATTGACTCAGCTTCGTCCTTCTCAACATTTCCTGAAATGAGTGTATAATTATATAATTGATACCGCAACGACTAGAACGAATAAAACAAGAGTAGAGACCAAAGACTATCATACAATAGGGATAATGTTGATACCTGCTATGTAGCATTCAACAAATGTCCTCGATAATAACATCGGAACGAAATTTGTCAAGTCTTCAGCTTCCAAATGAGAAAGAGCATCTAGTTCGTCTGTCCAAGGCCAAGTGTGATCTTGTAATACCATTGAGCAGTAACTCATTGCTTGATTATGTGGTTGTCGGAATTTGTAATTTTGGTATGCCTTTATGACCGTTTCCTATTAAAGGATAAGGAAACAGAAAAATATGGTTTCAATAAAATCTGGTATCAAGGCTTATTGCATGTAGTGAGGAAGTCAACCGTAATTTAGAAAGAAGGACGAAGTCTACTAACAAGTATACCTTGACAACAGAAAACCTGTCAGGTTTAACTTCGAAGTTTGCTATCTTTTGAATGATAGCTTCCAGCAAGATCCTCAATTTGTGATTAAAGCCAACAAGAGAGAGCTGGAAATGAGGAACTATTAGTCAAACATGAAATTCATTGAGAAAAATACACAAGGAAACGTCAGCATCCTTGTACAAACCCACCTCAAAACCATTGTCCGAAAGACTTAATCCATAGTCAAGACCAGCAGCTTGAGCATAATAAGCTGAAACATACAAGTACAGATTGATGGAACAATTTTCATGATATAATAACAAATTAGGAACGCTTATCACCTAATTTGTTCTACCAAAGAGAAATGACGTAAAGAGGTATATCTATCAAATCTTACCATATTCATTCAAATAGTCTACCAGCAACCAAACAAAAAGATTTGAAAGAACTACAGCGTCAGGAGAGCTGACCGCAAGGGGGCAGTTAAAATCCATATTAACATATGCCTTTGGTTTGAAGAACTTTGTATCAGGCTTATACCACAATCTTGAGAAGGATGTTTTTCTCAGCAAAACAGGAAATATATTATCTTGTTCGAGAACTTGATTCTGTGACATAAGATAACTGCTTCATACACTATTCAAAAGACATTTGTAAATTGTAACTAGAGTGTTGGTAGAAACTGAACCTTATCCGTAAAATGCTTCAATGAAAAATCCGTAGGAATGAAGACATTAGATGTTGGTAGAAACAGGTTTACATCAGGTGCAGACTGCACCAACTCCTGTAATTGTTAAACACAATTATAAATTCGAGCAGAGGAAAATAAAGCATAGAAGGAAATCAATACATCAAAAGCCAACCTGAATGGTGAATTTGGATATCTTCTCAAGAGAATAAGCAGTGTTATACCATGGCTCAACCTTGTCAGTTTGCCCTTCAAATTTATTTGACTCCCAAAAGATTCTACAAATATAATGGCATTAGATTCTGCAACAAGACAATCTTACTTGGCCATAAGCCCATAAAAGAAGGTCAGGATTTCAATGCTTGAACTACTATGGAAATATTATGAGTAAATAGAGATCACATGGCCGATAGAATAAATCATTTAGCCATTTAGATACATTTGGTCATTGATTGCTTTTGCGAAGGGTTGCATTCCAGGAACAGAGACTTACCGAACATTATCTGGAGAAAGATCATCGATAACCTTTTGCACACTAGCTGGATTAAATTTTGAAGGCAGTGACGATCCAATCAGCCAATGCTTGGTTGGGTATATCTGAAGAATAAATGCAAAAGGACTCACAAGATAAATAAATATATAAAATTGAAATAAGAAGCTTAGATGGTAGGAAAAATATGAGAAGTCGATTCCCTTGAAAGAAAGTATTACCGTCATGTTTGATGAAATATTCACTGCATAAGAAAGTGGGTCTATTTTGGCTTGATAATGAAACTCTGCCTCACATATAGCTGAGAGCTTCAACAGAAAAAAAAAAAGAAGTATCAATAGGAATACTAACAAGATTATAAGCACAACAGTAGAAAAGGTGGAAACATAGATTGTAAAACTTTAATATTACGAATACCTCATCAAAAATCCACTGGGAAACACCAGATTGTTGTAAAAGGTTAATATGTCTGAACAACAACCCTAAAATATCTTGCATATGCTCTGTACACCAAGCACGAAACAAATCAAACCAAAATCCAGAAAATAATAGGCACTGACTAAACATCAAGCACACCAAGACCATCTATTCAACATAAGAATGTTGCGAGCGTCTAAAGAATATTAAAACAAACAAGAAAGAAAACAGAAACCCACCATGCCCAGCATCAGTAAGATTAATCGAAACATTGAAGAAAGAATACTCCATAGTCCAGTCTGGTTCGCCAGCACACAGTCCCGTTGCCCAACCTGTGCAAGTATTAGCAAGAATTCAGCAAGACTATTAGATGTAAAACTACACACTTCTCTAGCCAACTCCACACCATCCTTTCATGTTACTCTCTATGGAAAATAGTTTGGGCACCATATACTTTTTTAGTGCAGCCAAGATAGTGCAAAAATTATCTAGGTAATCTACAGCTAACTAAAACAACAAAGAACCGTAGTTTCCGAAACACTTTCCCAAATATCTGCGAGACAAACTAAACGTGTTCTGCAATAAATACAGCGGGTAAGAACAAGAATAATAAAGATCATGCAAAACACACCCTCGAAATTAGTACATACAAAACAACTAATCTTTACGATTTCTCGTGACTTGGTAGCAACAGCTTATCCTCCAAAAATGGTAGGATATCATTTTGAAAGCAAGAAACCGAGAGCTGAAGACTAACTACTTTTCAATTTATTACCTCTTTCAGGTAAAATCTGCCAAAACATTTATTAGTTTGGCCCCAAAGAAAACGTACCCAAGATTTTTAAAGCATGAAACAAACTTCCTTTGCCTTCATGACCAATTAGATGACCAACGTACGTGCATGGTGCTTCTTCATAATGATGGATGCTAGGAGTTACAGGCCACGAAACAGTAAGATTATGGCCCTGCTTTATAGGAACAGCTTTCACAAGAACCTAGTACCAGTATAAAAACACAACCACAAAAGATACCACCTTAGAAACATTCTGGCATGAGTTTATCTCCGTCTCGTGTAAAGGCTTAAAGCTGAAAGAAGAAACAAAAACCTGCAAATGTTCCTGAGTACACGGCTGACCAGGAAATCGAGGAATTTCCGTGTTGGTGTTTCGAATTTCCTGGAACATCTCTTCCACTAGACCTTGAATTTTATCAAGGTTTTCTGAAGACATCCAGAGAAAAGAGATGAAAAAAATGTTACATATGTTGATACTTTTGTTTTCTGAAAGTAAAGAAATTTGAGTTTTGAGTTAGATCCAAAACCTACCTTTGCCATAAACAACCAGATGCATGGTGTTGGCAGAATAGTGTTTCTCGTAGAATTTAATAAGTTCACTCCTTGTATCCACTCCATTTGCTTCGGGTCGTACATGAAGAGTATCGATGTTCCCTAAGAAAAAACATAACTTTATTAGCATGAGAAAAAAATTGGGAAGGACCTCTGACTTTTCTTAAGCATCACAACACCAATTAAGAAGAGGTAGAAGATGGACCTGTATTAAATTTGTGATATGGGTGGTCTTCTCTACTTAGATGCTTCTTTAACTGTGTGAAAAAGAAGGAAAACAAAACTTATGTTAGAAGCTAAAATATAAGTCAACAGACTTGTGGGTTGTCAAATATGCAGGGCTTAGATATAAGTACTACAAGTTCCAGGAAACCTCATTTATCATACTTAGGTTCTTTTCCTCTCCATGGATAATTAGTGAAATGCATCCTTCAATGCTAATAACAAAATGGAGAGAAAGAATACAAATATTTGTTCTTGAGAGCAAAGGAAAATACCTGATGCATACGCCAAGAATCAGACAACAAGTTTTTCTGATTCTCTGGATAAGAGAGAACTCGTTAGAATTTTTTAGTTAAGAAACTGAAACAAGAAAGCTATCTCAAAAGGTAAAAAGATAGCTAACCAGAGTCAACAGCCTTAATCTCCCTCATGGTGGCATCAGCTGACATCAATGGTTGGATAAAGAACTGTGCAAACCTGGTTATAGGCAATAACGTAACATAAGTATCAAACTGTATCAGAAGTGAAATCAGACAAGATCAGTTAGTAAATGGAAAAAACAAAAAATGCAAGTCAACCTGTCCAAAGCCTCATCAAAAGAATCAGTGTTGATATCGAAATGGTAATTTGTATCTTCAGTGGATGTATAAGCATTTGTGCTCCCTCCATGCTACAAACAAATAATTTCGAATAAGCACATTCCAATTTCCGTTCCTCAACTTAATAGAAGAGACACAATTATGATCAAGTTTGTATTCCAGAGCTGGAGAAGAACATTACCTCTGTAATATACTTGGAGTAACTATCTTCCTCAGGGTATTTTTCACTTGCATAAAACAGCATATGCTCTGACCCCCCCAAAAATAATAAAATGAGCAGCATAATTAGAAATCAGAAGTTATCGATCACCATGGCCATCAAAATCCACATTTAACTGATTTACATTCTTAGAAAGAAAAATAGTAAAAAAAAAAAAAAAAGTGGTACCAAGGAAATGAGCAAGGCCTTCCAATCCTTGTGGGTCCGAGAAAGATCCGACGCTAACGTTCATTGAAGCAGCACACTAGAATGAAGCAGGTAAACACAGATAAAAACTTCAGCTCTTGTTTGTTTTAGCAGCAAAATTATAACAGGAATCGAGTTTTACCTTGTCAGTCTCTGGGTCGCTGATTAACAACACCTCCAGCGAATTCTTCAAAACAATCCTCCGATACTCTCTCTTGTCCGTACGTGCCTTAAGTATCTCGCCACCTTTATCGGCCGCATTCGTGGCCGCAGCGGCGTTCTCAATCGCCATCGATGTTGGATTACTTTTGCTGAATCTTTGCTATATAATATAACCAAGTAACGTCTTTCTTTTACTTTTTCTAAACTTCAGAGGGAGAGGGAGCTCAGAAGAAATTATCTGGTGTGGTATAGTCTACGTCTGACTTTAATCAACGGTCTATATTTCCCCACGTGGTACAGATCCAACGGTGATTACTATGGATAGTTGAAGTCTTCGCTCGCATATATGTCCAAGTCCAACATATAAACTTGACTCACGTGGCGTTGGTTTACATTGACTAAATAATAGATCATCATACAGATTTTAGACTTGAATTTATGCCATAAGTTTTCATCAGATAATAATTGTAGAATCCTTAATTCTTAGGATCTTATTTCCATTATACTTCTTATTAATTTAATTGCAAACTTATCATAAGGTTTTTCTTGGAAAGTCTTAATAAAGTGGGAATTTGACATTTCTTTTTCTGTTATTGTGCTAAGGTTGTGTTGTGTTGATCTCTTACCTTACTGAGATAAGGAAAGAGACGTTCCAGGAAAAGTTAGTGGGTTGGAGGTGTTCCGTGTTTATCTATAGAAGGTAGAAGACACTTTCTTCTTTGTGGAAGAAGACGCTTTCTTCTTGTGGACATATTAAAACTTGTGTAGAAGCTTTAGTCTATCTTGTACTTGTCTTCATGATGTGATCTAATCAACTTGTTCACAGCCAAAAACCAACCGATACCTCATCAAAGATGTGACATCTCCGTATTGTTCATTAAGCTTCTGCACTTTAATTTCAATATATAGTCTCTCTCGATTATTTAAAAGTGGTTCCCAATTCATCTATAATCAAATATCTTTAAAACTCTGTTTTCTAACAAACCAGTTGAATACAGGTTCACATTTTGGTATATGAGTGTGAGTGTATAAATCTATGAAATGTGTCGGAACCTCATCCCAGTTTCAACTGGCCACATCCTTTCAACGATCCATAAAGAGGTTGAGACTTTCTGAAACCAACAATGTCTTCGATTTCTATGGATGGTGTTACAACTTTCTCTTTGTCAGATGACATTTCCTTCAAATGTTGGTTTCCGTAAATGTATACGCTCAGCGATTTCTTTTTTGGTGCGCCAACCTTTATGTATTCGTCAAAGAAATCTATCAATTCTTCCTTCTTTAGCTCTCTCAGTGCAGCCACCTAAATTACACAAGAAACCCCAACTTCATCGGTCAATAGGCTGTGTTAACATTTCTTTGAAGAAGACTCACAATGCAAGTACAAGGTACTTAATTCAGAGATTGCTAGGAAGAAGTTGGAAAGAGGTGTTTTGTCGTTATTACCTCTGCATCTTTGCGGTTGAATTTAAGTGTCCCTTGTTTAATCTCTCCCCAGTAAAACCCGGATTCCTCATTCAAGTTCTTGTGTTTTTCAAGCTTTATGTCTATCAAAGCTGTTACATTGCTCTGAGGAGCAAGTCATGTCAGTTAGTGGGATGTATATTTGCACCACAATGTTTAGTTCCAGCAAAGCATATATAATATCTGATTGGGCCTTCTCACCATAAATTCGTCATCGCTCAGATTGTAAAGTTTACTCTCAAGATCATTGAGTAGTGACTCGACCCTTGAATCAATATGTCCAGGACCCTATTAACAACAAACTCAAAGGCGAATAATGCATTAACTAGAAAGGGTTATGCAGAGTCCGATGGCAAAGAGGCAAGACAGATTGGTAGTTTGGTACCTTAACTGAAGACTGAATAAAGAACTGTAGACCATAGACACCAGAGTCGTTTCTGTGTCGCAGAAACGTAATTATTTATGTATCAGCGATAACAGGAGCATTCAAACGTATGAGAAATTCTTATGTACCTTTGAGATAGTGAAGCGATGTAACCAAGTTGCTCGACAGTCCTAAGCTGGTGAAAAGTGGCTTGCTTTGTGATAAGTTTAAAAAGCTGAAGTTTGATATTCATGGAAAATTCATCTTGATGAACCTGTCCGTGGCAATACAATTTCCGTTAGCAAGAAAACCAAGGTCTACAAGAAGAAACCTTCTACACTCACGATGAGTCTAAGTACCAAAACTGGTTGATGAGACCAATAAGATCTACAAGAAAAGCTTTATAAAACATGCAAAAACTGGTTGATGAGACCAGTAAGATCTACTAATCTTGTCGCAAATATACCTGAATATAATGCACTAGAGCAGAGTTTTCATCGCTGGGGTTTGAGCCTTCTTGATGGTAGAAGTATTTCATTCCTGCTTCGAGCTCTGCAACTCGGCTTGTCAGGAACTGGGATGGATATAACGGACGACAGATAGGTTTTGGGTCGTTAAAGAGAACATCTTCAATATGCTTGACCATTGACTCAGCTTCGCTCTTCTCAACATTTCCTGAAACGAGTTTCTAATTATATCACTGACACACCACAACGAGTATTATAGGACCAAAGGGTTATAGGACCATAGTACCAAAGATTATCATAGAACAGGGATAATGTTGACACCTGCAATATAGCACTCAACAAATGTCCTCGATAACAACATTGGAACGAAATTCACCAAGTCTTCAGCTTTCAAACAAGAAAGAGCATCTAGTTTCTCTGTCCAAGGCCAAGAGTGATCTTGTAATACCATTGAGCAGTAACTCATTGCTTGATGATATGGTTGTCGAAATTTGTAATTTCTGTATGCCTTTGTGACTGTTTCCTATTATATAGGATAGGAGGGAAGCAGAAAAACATGGATTATTTAACAAATATGGTACAATGCTTATTGGTTAATATCTCTATCCATGTACAAAACCTTAAAAAGGAGAGTGTCCTAATTTAGAAAGAGGGACGAAGTCTACTAATACTGTTACCTTGATAACAGAAAACCGGTCGGGTTTGACTTCAAAATTTGATATCTTTTCAATGACAGCTTCCAGCAAGATCCTCAATTTGTGATTAAAGCCATCAAGAGAGAGCTGAAAATGAGAAACTGTTAGTCAAACCTGAAATTCGTAGAGCAAAAGACACGAGAACGTCAGAATTTTGTACAAAACCCACCTCAAAACCATTGTTAGAAAGACTTAATCCATAGTGAAGACCAGCAACCTGAGCATAATAAGCTGAAACATAGAATTACAGATTGATAAAACAATTTTCCTGATATAATAACTAACTATGAAGGCTTATCACCTTACTCTGGTTTTATTTCGCTCTTCATTATAGCATATTTTAACTTGTCTTAAAAGAAATACATAGCAGACTCGTCATCTCGATAATCAAAATGAGTACTGATATTGTATAAAAGTTATGCAATTTGAAGAGAACTATAAGGAACTCCCAGCAGAACTATCACATTTTACGTGACACAACTTCGGAGATTAACCTCTTAAATTAATCAAATTCGATTGACCTTACTTGGAATCGACCTTGCCTTTTAGAAGCTTGGTTCCACATACTTAGCAAACAGTTGTCTTGTGTAAATGTCTAAATAACGCCGTAGTTAAAAGAGAAATAACAAAAAGAGGTATATCTATCAAATCTTACCATATTCATTCAAATAGTCCACCAGCAACCAAACAAAAATATTTGAAAGAACCGCAGCGTCGGGAGAGCTGAGTGCAAGGGGGCAGTTGAAATCCATCTTAACGTACGCCTTTGGTTTGAAGAACTTTGTATCAGGCTTATACCACAATCTTGAGAATGATGTCTTTCTCAACAAAACAGGAAATATATTATCCTGTTTCAGAACTTGATTCTGTGACATAAGATAACTGCTTCATACACTATTCAAAATACATTTGTAAACTGTAACTAGAGTGATGGAACTGAACCTCATCATCAAAATCCTTTAATGAAAAATCCGTAGGAATGAAGACATTAGGTGTTGGTAGATGCAGGTTTTCATCAGGAGCAGACTGCACCCACTCCTGTAATTGTTAAGCACATTAATAAATTCGAGCAGAGGAAAATAAAGCATAACAGGAAATCAATACATCAAAAGCCAACCTGAATGGTGAGTTTGGATATCTTCTCAAGAGAATAAGCAGTGTTATACCATGGCTCAACCTTGTCAGTTTGCCCTTCAAATTTATTTGATTTCCAAAAGATTCTACAAATATAACATTTCGCTTTAAGTAGTCAAGATTTAAATGCTTAAAGTAGAGATCATATGGCGGATAAAAATATATAGCACCGTCGTCGGAATAAATAGGACAGACAAAAATTTAGAGAATAGTAGGCAGCAAGGCAAAATAATCCATTAGGTCATCAATTGCTTTTGCAAAGGGATGCATTCCACGAACAGAGACTTACCGAACATTATCTGGAGAAAGATCATCTAGAACCTTTTCCACAGTAGCTGGATTAAATTTCGATGGCAGTGATGATCCAACCAGCCAATGCTTGGTTGGGTACATCTGAAGCATAATTGGAATAAGACACAGAAGATTAGAAAAAAAAAAGTGAAATGTTCAGCCACAGAGATCAAACAGCTTAAATGACAGGAAAATAACGAGAAGTAGATTGAACAGCTGAAAATACTATTACCTTCATTTTTGATGAAATACTTTTGGCATAAGACATTGGGTGTATTTTGGCTTGATAGTGAAATTTTGCCTCACAGATAGATGAGAGCTTTAACAACAATAACAGATGTATCAAGCTCTATAAGAACACTGAATCAATAGGAATACTAGCCAGATCAAAAAGCAGACAATAACAACAACACAAAAAATGGAAACATAGGTCCTAGAAATTGTATTTTTGATAATACCAGTACCTCATCAAAAATCCACTGGGAAACACCAGACAGTTGTAAAAGCTTAATTTGTCTGAACAACAACCCTACAATATCTTGAATATTCTCTGTATACCAAGCAAGAAACAAATCAAACCAAATCCAGATATATCAGGTACTGACTAAGCATCAAGCACACCAATACCATCTTATCAACAACAAAAAAAGATTGTTGCAAGCTTCCGTAGAATATTAAAACAAAACACGAGAGAATACAGAAACCCACCATGGCCAGCATCAGTAAGATTAATTGAAACATTGAAGAAAGAATACTCCATGGTACACCCTGCTTCACCAGCATGCAGACTCGTTGCCCAACCTGTGGAAGTGTTAAGAAAAATAAAGGAAAACTTACTAAATGCAGAACTGCTGATACATAGGTCTGCATCACAAAATTAAGTAAACAAGCAAGAAACACCTCAGTAAAATACAGGGGAAACAACTCATCTTTAAGATTTCTCGTAACTATTATCCGAGACAATTTATCCTCCAAAAAAGTAAGATATCATTCTGAGAAGCAGAAATAGAGAGCCGAAGACTATTACAGCTTTTCAAATTTTTACCTTCCAAAACATTTATTAGTTTGGCCCCAAATAAAACCTACCCCTCATTTTCAAGGCATGAAACAAACTTCCTTCGCCTTCATGACCAATTAGACGACCAATGTACCTGCATGGTGCTTCTTCATAATGATGGATGCTAGGAGTTACAGGCCATGAAACAGTAAGCTCGTGACCCTGCCTTATGGGAACAGCCTTCACAAGAACCTAAAACCAATGAAAAACACACCACCACCGAAAATACCACCTTAAACATTTTAGCATGAATTTATCTTCTCATATAAATGCTATAACTGAAATAAGGAGCAAAAACCTGCAAATGGTCTACAGTACACGGCTGACCAGGAAATCTAGGAATACTCTTGTCGGTGTTTCTAATTTCTTGGAATAACTCTTCCACTAGACCTTGAGTTTTATCAAGGCTTTCTGAAGACATCCAGAGCAAATAGATGTATAACTGTTATATATGTTAATTCTGTACTTTTTTCTGAAACTAGAAAGAAATTTGAGTATTGGGTTAGCTTCAAAACCTACCCTTGCCATAAACAACCAGATGCATGATGTTGGAAGAATAGTGTTCATCATAGAACTTAATTAGCTCACTCCTTATATCTATTCCTTTTGCTTCGGGTTGTACACAGAGAGTATCCATGTTACCTAGGCAAAATGATCACTTTCTTAGCAGGAGAAAATAAATAGGAAGCGACCACTTAAGAATAGGTCAAACATGAACCTGTGCTAAATTTGTGATATGGATGGTCTTCTCTACTTAGATGCTTCTGTAACTGTGCCAACGAAAAAGGAAGACAAAACTCAAGTTAGATGCTATATACACATCAACAGACTTGTGGGTTATCAAATATGCAAGGCTTAGATAGAAGTACTACAAGTTAAAAGAAAAACCTCATTTTTCATACTTAAATGTACACATCCAATGCTAATAACTAAATGGATAGATGTAATACAAGTAACCCATATAATTGTTCTTGAGAGCAAGGGAAAATACCTGGCGCATACGCCGAGAATCAGTCAACAAGTTTTTTTTATTCTCTGGATGAGAGAGAACTCATTAGAATTTGTTGTATCAACAAAAATGAACAGGAGAGCTATCAAGAAATTGAAAAGCTAACCAGAGTCGACAGATTTGATCTCCCTCATGGTGGCATCAGCTGACATCAGTGGTTTGATAAAGAACTGTGCAAACCTGGTTTAGGCAATAACAGAAAAATTTGACATTGTCAAAAGGAAATCACATAACATTAGTAAGTATTGCTTACTAAGCAAGATAGAAAAAAAAAATTGCAAATCTACCTGTCCAAAGCTTCATCAAAAGAATCAGTGTTGATATCAAAATGGTAGTTTGTATCTTCAGTGGATGTATAAGCATTTGAGCTCCCTCCATGCTAAAGAAAAAACAAGCACATCATATTCTCTTGATTTAAAGATGCCTTAATTTAATAGAAAAGCACCGATACAAGAACATCAATTATGTATTACCTCATTGACATACTTGAACAAACCATGTTCCTCAGGGAATTTTTCACTTGCATAAAATAGCATATGCTCTTGATCCCCCGGAATAAAATAAACCGGGCAGCATAAAAGATTATTCACCAAAATCCACATTAAAAATCGACATCAATTTTACATTAAAGGAAAGAGTTTATAAAAAGAGAACTGACTCAATCTCGTCTCAGTGATTGAACTCTGCTATGAAGACATCATTAAACTAATTTGAATTCTTAGAAATGGAAAGATAAAAGTACCAAGGAAATGGGCAAGGCCTTCCAATCCGTCCGGGTCCGAGAACGACCCGACGCTAACGTTCATTGAAGCAGCACACTAAAAAGCAAAAGACACAAAAATGAATCTTCATGATTTTATCATCATCAGTACAATTAGAACAAAAAATCTAGCTTACCTTGTCAGTCTCTGGGTCGCTGATCAACAACACCTCCAGCGAATTTTTGAGTACAATCCTCCTATACTCTCTCTTGTCCGTACGTGCCTTTAGTATGGTGTCACTTCCATCCGCCGTCGCCGTCGTGGTCTCCGTTTCAACCGCCATCTCCCTTCGATTACTTTGGGATAGTTTTAGTCTACGCTGAGTCTTCTTCTTTGCTCTTATGAATGTCTAACGTCTTTCTTTTAGTAAGAGCAAAGAAGAATTATCAAATGTGGTACAGTCTACGTCTGACTAATATCAACGGTGAATATTTTCCTAAGTAATACAGATCCAACGGCGATTACTTGGGTCTTCGCTAGGCTGGGTCTTGGGCCTCTTTGGCTAGTGTTAATGTATTAACTATGGTCCAACGTCTTTCCTTTTGTCTCTAATCTAGTGTCATTATCCAGTGTGGTTAGAATCTGCGTCTGACTATTATCGACGGTCTATATTTTCCCAATTAATAGAGATCCAACGGCGATAACGCCGCGCCAACAAAACTTGGCACAGATTTCGTCAACAATACCAAGTTGCCAACTCCAACGTTGATTTGTTGTAGTTTATAAAATAGGGACCGAAAGTGTAGTTGAATATGATAACTATGAAAAATAAGTATGCTATATTGAATAACTATGCCATAAATTTTTATCGAATAAAATTTTGTATATATGATGCCAAGTTTAATCATCTTTATTATAGTGTTTTGAATAAAATTTTGGCCTATGTGTGTTTGTGTTTATCTCTGAATAGAGTTGGGACCTCCTCAAAGTTTCAAAGACCCGTAAAGAGGTTGAGACTTTCTGAAACAGACTATGTCTTCGATTTCTATGGATGTTGATGGGATTTTGTTTTTGTCATTTGCCATTTCCTTCAAATGTTGGTTTCCATAAACACATAGGCTCAACGATTTCTTTTTTGGTGCGTCAACCTTTATGTATTCGTCAAAGAAATCTATCAATTCTTCCTTCTTTAGCTCTCTCAGTGCAGCAACCTAAAGCATGAAGCAAACCCCAACATTGGAGTTCTTAATTCAAAGAATTGGTAGGGAGGAGTTGCAAAGGGAGGAATTACCTCTGCATCTATGCGGTTGAATTTGAGTGTCCCAGTTTGAATCTCTGCCCAGTAAAACCAGGATTCCTCGTCCAAGTTCTTGTCTTTTTCAAGCTTCATGTCTATCAAAGTTGTTACATTGCTCTGAGGAGAAAGTCATGTCAATTAGTACATCAATCAATGTTTATCTCAAGCAAAGCAAATATCATCTAGCTTGTGTCATCTCACCTTGAATTCTTCATCGCTCATATTGTAAAGTTTACTCTCAAGGTCCTTTAGTAGTGACTCAACTCTCGAATCAATATGTCCAGGACCCTGTTAACGATTAATTCAAAGACAATTAAAGAGATCTGAATCGATTATACAAAGTCTGAGTGGTAGAGAGGCAATACAAGTTTGTACCTTATCTGAAGACTGGATAATGAACTGTACACCATAGACGCCAGATTCGTTGCTGTGTTGCAGAAAAGTGGTTATGCATGAACTCAGTAAATATTCAAACACACGAGAAACTCCTATGTACCTCAGAGAAAGCAAAGTGATGTAGCCAAGTTGCTCAATCGTTCTAAGCTGGTGAAACGTGGCTTGCTTTGCAATTAGCTCGAAAAGCTGGAGTTTACTGTTCATGGAATATTCATCTTGATGAACCTGTTCGTGGTAAACCAATTTCCATTACCAAGAACACGAAGGTCAATAAAAAGAAAAACTCGCGAAGAGTCTAAGTAACAAGATCTACAAGTAAAGCTTATAAGACTTGCAAGAAACTGGTTGATATATACTACTTAGTTCGAAGGCTATCCTACTAATCTTGTCACAACTATACCTGAATATAATGCACTAGAGCAGAATTTTCATCACTGGAGTTTGAACCTTCCTGATGGTAAAAGTATGTCTTTCCTGTTCCGAGCTCTGTAACCCTATTTGTCAGGAACTGGGATGGAAATAACGGACGACAAATAGGTTTTGGGTTGGTAAAAAGAACATCTTCAATATGCTTGACCATTGACTCAGCTTCTTCCTTCTCAACATTTCCTGGAATGAGACACCGCAACAGCTATAAGAAAAGGAAAAAAATTAGAGACCAAATACAATCATACAATAGGGATAATGTTGATACCTGCTATATAGCACTCAACAAATGTCCTTGATAACAGCATTGGGACGAATTTAGCCAAGTCTTCAGCTTCCAAATGAGAAAGAGCATCTAGTTCCTCTGTCCAAGGCCAAATCTGATTTTGTAATACTAGTGAGCAGTAATTCGTTGCTTGTTCATATGGCTGTTGGAATTTGTTATTTTGGTATGCCTTTGTGACTGTTTCCTATTACAGGACAGGGAAGCAGAAAACATGGATTCGGTAAATCTGGTCACACAGCTTCTTGGGTGTAGGAGGAAGTTGTTAATATCTTACCACGTACAGACCATAAAAAGGAGAGTCGTGGTGATTTTAAAAGAAGGACGAAGTCTACTAACAAGTATACCTTGATAACGGAAAACCTGTCAGGTTTAACTTCGAAGTTTGCTATCTTTTGAATGACAGCTTCCAGCAAGATCCTCAATTTGTGATTAAAGCCAGCAAGAGAGAGCTGGAAATGAGAAACTGTTAGTCAAACATGAAACTCATTGAGAAAAATACACAAGGAAATCTCAGCAAACCCACCTCAAAACCATTGTCCGAAAGACTTAATCCATAGTCAAGACCAGCAGTTTGAGCATAATAAGCTGAAACATAGTAAAGATTGATGAGAGCTACAATATAAAGAAAAATAAGAGATCCAATATGAAGAAGCAGACTCGTCATCTTGATAATCAAAATGATACTGATAAAAGTTATGTGAATTGAAGAGAGCTAGAAGGAATTCCCAGCAGAACCATCACATGGAAGCATATTATATGAGACAACTTTGAAAATTTCCCCTAAATTTTATCGTATTGACCTTACTCGGAAGTCGACCTTTCCTTTCAGAGCCGTAGTTCCACATACTTAACATACAATTTTCTTAAATAATATCAAGAGAAAGCCGTAGTTAATAGAGAAATGACCGAAAGAAGTCTAGCTATCAAATCTTACCATATTCATTCAAATAGGCCACTAGCAACCAAACAAAAATATCCGAAAGAACCGCAGCGTCAGGGGAGCTGACTGCAAGGGGGCAGTTGAAATCCATCTTAACATATGCCTTCGGTTTGAAGAACTTTGTATCAGGCTTATACCACAATCTTGAGTATGATGTCTTTCTCAACAAAACAGGAAAGATATCCTGTTCCAGAACTTGATTACGTGATATAAGATTAATGCTTATACATTAAAATTTGAAAGACAGTTGTAAATTGTAACTAGAGTGATGGAACTGAACCTTATCCTTTAAATCCTTTAATGAAAAATCCGTAGGAATGAAGACATTAGGTGTTGGTAGAAGCAGGTTTACATCAGGGGCAGACTGCACCCACTCCTGTAATTGTTAAGCACAAAAAAAATTGAACTTCCTCCAAAGTAACAGAAAAATATTGAATCAAATAGAATATAAATTTGAGCAGCAGAGAATAAACATGCAAGTATAATCGAATCTTCAAGAAATTAATACATTAAAAGCCAACCTGAATAATGAATTTGGTTAACTTCTCAAGAGAATAAGCAGTGTTATACCATGGCTCAACCTTGTCAGTTTGACCTTCAAATTTATTTGACTCCCAAAAGATTCTACAGATATAATGGCATTAGATTCTGTGACATGACGAGCTTACTAGGCCGTAAGCAGTCAGGATTTCAATGCTTGAACTATCTGTAAATTCTATGAACATGACACATTGGGGACTGAGGGCTGCTTAAAGTAAACCGCCAAAAAGCTAATGGAAATTTTGCATAAAATAGAGATCATATGGCCGATTGCAATAAAAACATTTAGCACCATCCTCAGCTTTTCTCAGAATGAATGGGAGAAATACAAATTAGCTTGGTGAAAACCTATTGAGATTATAAGACATTTAGAAAATAGTAGGCAGCAAGGCATGCATTCCAGGAACAGAGACTTACCGAACATTATTGGGAGAAAGCTCATCGAGAACCTTTTGTACAATAGCTGGATTAAATTTCGAAGGCAGTGATGATCCAACCAGCCAATGCTTGGTTGGATATATCTGAAGCATAATTGCAAAAGGACACAGAATATTTTTTCAAAAATATACAAAAAAAAATGTCTAGCCAAGAAACCAAGTTCCCGAACTTCAGCCACAGAGATCAAACTTCATATAGGTGAACTAGTAATGCTTGATAAGATTGTAAGAGGTAAACATCTATTCTACTTCTTGTTCATCGTAAAGGCCATATACATATATCAAGCAAAAATAGGTTTATATAAGAAGCTTAAACGACAGGAAAAGTATGATATGTGGATTGAACAGCTGAAAAATACTATTACCGTCATGTTTGATGAAATATCCACTGCATAAGAAATTGGGTCTATCTTGCCTTGATAATGAAATTCTGCCTCACATATAGCTGAGAGCTATAACAACAATAACAAATGTATCATAAAGAAAACTAGGCAGATTAAAAGCAGACAACAACACAAAAGGTGGAAACTTAGTAACACCAATACCTCATCAAAAATCCACTGGGAAACACCAGACTGTTGTAAAACCTTAATGTGTTTGAACAACAACCCTAAAATATCTTGCATATGCTCTGTATACCAATCAAGAAATCAAACCAAATTCAGAAAATATCAGGTACTGACTAAAACATCGAGCACACCGACACCATCTAATCAACATAAGAATATTAGAACAAAACAAAGAAGAATACAGAAACCCACCATGACCAGCATCAGTAAGATCAATCGAAACATTGAAGAAAGAATATTCCATACTCCAGTCTGCTTCGCCAGCATACAGTCCTGTTGCCCAACCTGTGCAAATATTAGGAAGAATTAAGCTAGACTACTAGATGTCGAGCTTCTAATAGCCTAATGCACACGTCCACATCAAAAAATTAAGTAAACAAGCAGCTGAGCAATAAAACCCTATTCGACTAGAATGGAACTTCTCTAGCCAGCTCCACAAAATCCTCCAATGTTACTGTCTAGCCATAAGCTTTTTAGTGCAGCCTATATGACACGCTAAGAAATGGCAGAAATTTTCTAGCTACCATCTACAGTTGAAGCAACAAATAGCTGTAGTTTCTGAAGCACTTTTCTAAATATCTGCGAGACACCCTAAAAAGTGTGTGTAATATTCACAGCGGATAAGAGCAAGGAATATAAAGATCAAGCAAGCAACAACTTCGAAATTAATACAGAGGAAACAATTAATCTTTCAGATTTCTAGTCACTATTAGCAGCAACAGCTTATCCTCCAAAAAATAAAGACATAAGTTTGGAAATCAGAATTAGAGAGCTGAAGCCTACAATTACTTTGCAATTTATCTCTTTCAGGTAGAATCTGCTCAAAATTTTATAAGTTTGGCCCTAAAGAAAACCTACCTAAGATTTTTAAGGCATGAAACAAACTTCCTTCGCCTTCATGACCAATTAGATCACCAAGATACCTGCATGGTGCCTCTTCATAATGATAGATGCTAGGAGTTACAGGCCATGAAACACTAAGCTCGTGACCCTGCATTATAGGAACAGCCTTCACGAGAACCTAAAACAAATGAAAGCCACAACCACAGAAGATACCACCTTAGAAACATTCTAGCATGAATTTATCTTCGTTTCCTGTAAATACTAAAGCTAAAATAAGGAACAAAACCTGCAAATGGTCTAGAGTACACGGCTGACCAGGAAATCTAGGAATACCCAGGTTGGTGTTTCGAATTCCCTGGAACAACTCTTCCACTAGACCTTGAGTTTTATCAAGATTTTCTGAAAAAAATCCAGAGCAAAGAGATGTATAAATGTTATATATACTAATACTTTGGTTTTCTGAAAGTAATATAAATCTGCGTTTTGGGTTAGCTCCAAAACGTACCCTTGCCATAAACAACCAAATGCATGATGTTGGCAGAATAGTGTTCATCATAGAATTTAATTAGTTCACTCCTTGTATCCACTCCATTTGCTTGGGGTCGTACATGAAGAGTATCCATGTTCCCTAAGCAAAAATATCACTTTCTTAGCAGGATATATAAAATTGGGAAGGACCACTGACTTTTCTTATGAACCAAAGCACCAAATCTTCTATGAACGCCAGTCAATACCAAATAAGAATAGGTCGAAGATAAACCTGTGTTAAATCTGTGATATGGATGGTCTTCTCTACTTAACTGCTTCTGTAACTGTGTCAAAGAAAAAAGAAGATACAGTTCAACTTAGATGTTACAAACACATCAACACACTTTTTCAAAGAAAACCAATGAAATGCAATCTTCAGTGCCAATAACCAGATGGATAGATATAGTACAATTAACTCAGATATTTGTTCTTGAGAGAAGGGAAAAATACCTGGCCCATACGCCAAGAATCAGACAACAAATTTTTCTGATGCTCTGGATGGGAGAACTTGTTAGAATTTGTATTATTAACAAATTTCAACAGGAAAGCTACAGAGAAATTCAAAATCTAACCAGACCCGACAGCCTTGATCTCCCTCATGGTGGCATCAGTTGACATGAGTGGTTGGATAAAGAACTGTGCAAACCTGGTCAGGCAATAACATAAGAATCCAACACTGTCAAAGAAAAATTAGTAAGCAAGAGAGAAAAAAAAAAACAAATGGAAGTCTACCTGTCCAAAGCTTCATCAAAAGAATCTGTGTTGATATCGAAATGGTAGTTTGTATCTTCAGTGGATGTATAAGCATTTGTGCTCCCTCCATGCTAAAAAAAAAAACAGAATTCCATCCAATAAGCACATCCCATTTTCTTCCTATTAAAGCTTCCTTAAACTGAGAGAAGAGACCGATGGAAGAACATCAATTATGATCAAGTTTGTATTCCAGAGCTGGAGAAGAACATTACCTCTGTAATATACTTGGAGTAACTATCTTCCTCAGGGTATTTTTCACTAGCATAAAACAGCATATGCTCTGACACCCAAAAATAATAAAACGAGAAGCATAAAATCAGAAGTTATTCACCATGGCCATCAAAATCCACACTAAAAATCGACTTCAGATCACAGGAAAGAGTTGATAAATCACTGTTTATAGAGACAGTTTAGACTCAGCTCAGTGATTGAATCCTGGTATGAAGAAGAGAAGCATTAAAACACGAGAATAAAAGTACCAAGGAAATGAGCTAGCCCTTCCAATCCGTCCGGGTCCGAGAACGACCCGACGCTAACGTTCATTGAAGCAGCACACTAGAAGCAGGTAAACAGATAAAATTTCAACTCGTGTTTTGCAGCAAAATTATAACAGGAATCGAGTTTTACCTTATCAGTCTCTGGGTCGCTGATTAACAACACCTCCAGCGAATTCTTGAGAACAATCCTCCTATAGTCTCTCTTGTCAGTGCGTGGCTTAAGTATCTCGCCACATTCACCAGACGCCGCTGTCTTCGCCGTCGCGTTCTCCGTTCCAACCACCATCTCCGTTCGATTACTTGGGATTGTTTAGTAGGCTTCTCTTATGAATGTGTCTACTACGTCTTTCATTTATTTTCTAAGAGGAAGCAAGCAAGGACAATAATGGAGCTGACTAGCTGAGTATAAATTATCTAGTGTGGTACAGTCTACTGTCTGTCTATGTAGGACTATTTATTAACGGTGTATATGTCCTCATGTTGGTAAAGATCTAACGGTGAGAAAAGCCAATTTTTAGTCTTTCTTTTTCGTGTGAGGCGAGAAGAAATTATCCAGTGTGGTTGTATGTTATCCATGATTGTGAGCCTCTCTCTATATATGTTTCCAAAAGCTTAATTTGGCAGCCATTTTGAACTGTCTATATAGTGAGATCTAAAAGCATATGTTCCATTGATAGAGGACACTATAATCAGAGGAACTATCTCAAAGAAGATAATACAAAACTCTGTGATTGAATGTAAAAGAATAATACAATGTAACTCGTTTATGCTATGAGAGGGAAGGACTCTAGAGCTAACTAACATTTGTGAGAAAATTGTCTCAACAAAAACAGAGTAAGTTTGACCTGAAGAGGCAAAAAGAACAAGAGACCCAATGTTGAACAAAATCCATAACAGAAGAAATGCAGAATTGGCTAACAAAACAAAAACTGAGCTCAAAGAATATGGAGTTTCTTTTCTTCCTTTACATGGCTGTGTTACAAAGAATGATACAATCACACAAATATAAAACCACTTCACTTCACTTCTTTTCTTCTAGGCTTTAGAAGTGCCACGATGGTCTTTATCGATATGCTTCAATAGATCCACCGGATCACGAAACCCTCTGCTACATTTGGGACAAACATCAACCGTAACTTTGCCACAATTCTGTTTTCCATTCCTCTCTTGCGTTTTCTCTGCATTACCATCACTACCACTCGCAAACTGTAACTTCTGGCTAATATCGTTACCGAGTCTGCTAATACTTGCTTCCGCAGAAGCGAAAAGACTAGACCATCTCGAAGAAGAAGATGATGATGCAGGAGCTTCTTTTGTGTTAGTACCTAAGAAACCCATGAATGAGAAACTCGATTCAGGCTTCTTGGGTCCAGAACAACTATGATCAGGTCCAAACCGATGTTTCAAACAATGATCAATGCTGCAATCTCGACATTTAATAGTATTAGAGAATGTCAAGAGTTCTCTGCATCTTGGAACAGGACATTTCTTCTTCTTGACAGCTTTTTCGTAGTTAGATGGATCACAATCTGTATTAACATGTTTCTCCCAGGTAATGTTGGGATCTTCGTCAGGGTTTAATCGAACTCCTTTAGCACATAATGGACAGATAACCACAGTGACATCTCCTCTGTTTCCTTTTGGACAATCGTGTTTCATATAGCTACGATGATCCAGACAAAACACCTTCGATAAAACAAATGAATCTTTTCAATCGTTTAGCATAAAATTCTTCTAAATGAAGATCATTTATGGAAGTTGATCACAAATAATTGTGTGAAAAGTAGTCAAGATTCAACTCAACTACAGAATTTGAACATAAGAAGAGACGAAAACATTTTCCAGTCTAAATCATATCATTGACTTGAGATTTAGAGAAGCCACGATGATCCTATATTTGGAAAAACTATGGCATTGGGTCGGGATTAATGATTCATGACGAGCGTGGACATGACGACACTGATTCAATTTTGACGGTATCAAAAAGACAAGGGAGAAAGGAACCTGAAGGCAGCGATCGCATGTGAAGGGCAAGAAATCGATCTGTTTGCAATAATCGACGGAGCAGTGTTTCCCTAGATCTGGAAATTCTGGAGTCCCCATTGTTGAGACCGAGCTTTCGGCAACAATTCCGACAAAATCGAAAAGCAATCCTAGGAAAAAAATAATGTTGAAAGAGAAGAGAAATCAGACAAGATAATAGAGTTTCCCGGCGAGAGAGATACACCGGGAAAAGAATATCCCCAGATTCCGAGTATTTAGATGAACAGAAAACTCGGAGATACCGGGAAGGAAGAAGAAGAAATTTGTAAAGGAAAGTCAACGTCATTCCATCTTCTTATTTTCTTCCATTCAAAGTCAATCTTTCTCTCTGAACATTAAAAAAAAAACAAAACACGATTTACCACCAAAATCAAATAAAACTCAGATCGGGCTTAGGGCCTAGGCTTTGCTCATTTCGTTTCAAAATTGGGCTGGTCACCTATTTAGATGTTGAGAAAAGGCCCATGTATTAATTAATGTCTGATTAAACATATTTTCCAGGTAAGTAAACTTTGAATTAAACCTTTAACACCATATATTTAGTCATAACGAATTTCCATTCAAATTTCATTGCTGAGATTTACTGACTTAGGGGTGTTATTCACTCATGGAATTAAAGTCAATTCTTAAAGGTTTAGATTTGATTTCTGATATTGTTTTTAACAATCGGTTTGTGTAGAGTTCAAAATCTCTGCAGTATATCTTGGATTATGATTCTAATAATTTACTCATGAAACTCCAAAGATGTTTCATTTCAAATAATTTGATATACAAAGATTTTACAAGTCTTTTAGTTTTGAATAACACTGGATTTTAATGAAACATTTTAAATTTTAGTTGAATAACACCAAACTTTAAAATCATTAGATTAATAACATAGTGTTGGATTTCAATTCTATTAAAATCCATCATTGAATAACACCACCTTAGTCTGCTTAAAAAACAATTATAAGAAGATTCGTATGCTTGAATTCAAAGTGTCAAACAAATATCTAAATTACTAAAGATAAACGAACAAAATCTGACTCAAGCTTTTGATAACACTTTGAATCTCATGTAACAAGATAAAGTGGTATTACTCTACGCTTTTGTTTACAACCTCCCTGATCTTGGCGGCAGGAGGCATAAGCAAGTAATCAGTGTGCTCTTGGTATGGTGATTTTGAGAATCTCGTCTCTTTCCAGAATTCCGGTGTAAGGAATCCGTAAGTCTTCTGAAGACAATCAAATGTTGCCTGACCAAATACAACAGTTTGAATTACATTAGTCAGAATTTAGCATAATCAGACCAACCTAAGAGCATTCGGATTCAAGCAATCTTAAACACAAAACTATCATTATAAACCAAATCTTTGAATACAACCATTGTTCATCAGATTAGTACTTAAAACCAAACTCACATGCTCAAACCAATAACATTTCAGCTAAATCCTAATCTTCGCTATAAATTCCCTTAACTGGTAATGATTACTTATTCACTGCCTAATTCAGAGTTCATCAACCCAAAACAGCCATTTTTGAGTACATACCTTAACGAAGTTTCCAAGTGTTTTCGTGGATCCTCTAGAAGAAGTGAATACATCATCAATTCCAGCGAATTGAAGAACCTTCTTAGGAACTCTAGCCGCCACAATTCCAGAACCTCTTGGAGCTGGAACCATACGTACGGTAACAGATCCACATTTCCCGGTTACTTTACACGGAACCGTGTGTGGTTTTCCGATCTTGTTACCCCAATAACCTCTTCGGATCGGAACCACAGACAATTTCGCGAGAATAATCGCGCCTCTGATCGCCGTCGCAACTTCCTTAGAGCATTTCACTCCTAATCCAACGTGACCGTTACTATCTCCAACGACGACGAAGGCCTTGAATCTCGTTCTCTGACCGGCTCTGGTTTGTTTTTGAACCGGCATGATTTTCATCACTTCGTCTTTCAATGAAGGACCGACAAGTAAATCTATGATCTGGTACTCCTTGACTGGGAGAGAATGGAGGTAGATCTGCTCAAGCTGTTTGATCTTACCTTCCTTTACGAGACGACCAAGCTTAGTCACTGGCACCCATTTCTCCTCTTCTGGAGCACGACCTGCACGGCGACCACGGCCTCTCGGACCACCTCTTCCACCGCCACGACCGCCGAATCCACGTCCGAAATCGCCGCGATCACCACCACGTTCGACACCACGCTCACCACCACGTTCCGCCATTGTCAATGCGCTCGATTTTGCGTAGAAGAGCTGGAGAATTTGATTCAGTTTGTGTGTTCGTGAGAAACGGCGGCAAAAAATATGATTCACATATAAGCTCCAGACGAAAAATAGATAATTAGGGTTTCCTGACTAAACCGAGCTTATTGGGTTTCTAAGCCCAATACTAAACTTAGACCCAACATATGATTTCGTGACATGTAATGGACTGTTTCTCGATTCGTTAATTTTCTCTGTCACTTATTGCCTGTTTCTTGATTTTCTTGAGATATTTTTTTTGTTAGTGATATTTATTTTTACTGAATAAACATTATTGAGCTGACACATTGACATATAAAAAAATAAGAAGATGCAGAGATAGAACAAGATGAACAAACCCCACCATTGATATCACCTGCCAAAACTTAAACTGACAAATAAAAAGACAAGATGACCACATAAAAATCTAAATTAGTTACTAGTGACTTCATAGATAAAATGAATCTATACATATATGTATAGTCATGATTATCACATTTATGTTGTAAGAGTAAATAATGGTTAGTTGAGTCAAAGTGGAGTCAATAGGGAGAGTAGAAGTGGCAGAGAGAGGGTGGTGGTCATTGAAGAAGTGATGGGGACAACAAAACAAACACCTCTTCGTTTTAACCAAATGCATGTGGTTTTTGGTTTTTACACACACTGAGGACAAATTGGGAATTGAGAATTTTAATTTTTTTCAAAATAGAAACTCTTTTAATATACGTGGGTAAAAAAATAGAAACATTTTTATTTAGGTCATTATTTTTATACTTACATATACACTAATCCAATGCCTATGAACCAATTGAGTACATAGAATCATGGATAGAAAAGGAAAAAGAAACCATCATAATTACAATGAGACCATTAGTGTTCAATGTTGTAAAGATGTTTTCCAGGAATATTATTTGATCAAAAAAAAAAATGTTTTCTATTATGAAAATTTGTTTTTTTTTTTTTTATCAAAAGTCGATATAATTAACCCCACTCTCTACTTCAAGTCTTAAACCTTTGCTCCCACAAGCTCACCTGAAACTCTCTATCTCTTTCTCCCTCTCTCTTCTTTTCTCTCACCCTCTCTTTCTCATGTTTGGAGTCACGGCAAGGCTCGATGACCAACTCAGCACCACAACCACCCCAACTACCATATACATAGACCCACCCACCCAAGACCAGCCGAGTCACAACTCGGACCACCGTTCAATAGAAACACTCGTTGTCGTCTTAGCTGTCATCACCATTTTATCCGTCTTAGCCGGCGTGTTCGCTCGGCTTTGTGGCGGCCGCCATTTATCTGACGGTGGAGACCACGACATCGAAGGTTGGGTTGAGAGAAAGTGTCGTAGCTGCATCGATGCCGGCGTTCCCACCGTTGCTGCCACCCCTCCACCTCCACCTCCACCGCCGCCACCGGCAGCAACGGTGGAAGAGCAGAGTAAGCCAGCAGCCGAGGATCAAACCAAGAAGTGAAGTTAAAAGAGGGTAAAACTACATTCTTCGATTTAGCTAGCTTTAACATTATGTAATATCATTAATTTTGAGGACATCTTCCTTTTTTTGTTATGTACCTTAGTCTACGGACATTGATTTCGGAATTTCCTCGGATGTTTTATGGTTTTATTATTTCTTTCAAAAGAAAGAAAAAAAGTAAAGTTCTTTGTCAACTTTTAACTTTAAAATAAATCCGTTGAGATTAGAGAGCAACGGCATTACCCAAAAAAAAAACATCAAGATTTTACTTTATCCTCATGTTGTATTTTATAGCAACATAATAAGAAGAACAATCACGTAAAAAGTAAATCAAGATTTTTAATATATTGGACTTTTTAGTAAAGTAGGCCAAAACACAAGGGTTCGCTTAAATGCCTTGGTCCTTTTGGTTGCTTATGGGATTTAACATTTTTATATAAGTATTGATTATTGAATGGACTAAGAGTAAAGAAGGCCACAATAATGCAAGAGCTCACTGAAAACTAGGTTAATTTTGGGATTTAGCATCTTATTGAAAAACACACTATAAATTACTAGCATTTTCATGCAAAAAAGAAGAAGGCATATTTCGATTTAAGATTTACAAACTTGGCCCATGTGGCTTGTATCAACAACTATTTGCACAATTAAGAATCTTATTAGTATGAACTCTATTCTCATTCTATTTTGCCTACCAAACTATAATGCTGGAATAATCAATTCACTATACTGAAATTTTGCATATTCCTTTTCATTTTAATACTAGTAAATCAAAATATCAGACAAATAATCTTATTAATTTATTCATGGAAATACAAACAACTAATATTAGTAATTTATATGTAGATAACAAATATTCTTTACTACATGTATTAAGAAGCAATGCGTATTGTACAATATACAGGCTATATGTAAATATGTATATCTATGTATATATGTGTATTACATAGTTAGCTCAGTTAAGAGCATTTAGGAGAAACGGTGCCTTGATTTTTAACATTGGCATTTTTGCAAGAAGCTGTTCCTCCTTTTATGTTCACGTTCTCAAGCACAATCCCTTGGCATGGATACTTCTCACTGCAATTCAACGTTATCGCCACATCCGTTGCGCTCGTACCGGATATGTTCTTGTACACAACGTTTTTCACTTGCACGGCGGAGTCCTGATAACATATTTCACATTTTCAATCCGAGCGAAGGCTAGTCTAGTAAAGAAAAAAGTAAGAATGGCTAGATCAATCGATCAATCAATTACTTGGTCTTCGCATTTGTCCTTGTCGCAGTAGTTCTGGTCGATTATAATCGGATTCTTGACATTTTCCATTCGAATGTTTTGAAATTTAATGTTCTTGGCAGTTCCTGATCCTCCCTGAAATCAGTAAGGACTTGTTATTGACAATTTCAAAACAAATGGTAGGTACGTTTCAAGAGATTTTTAATTACAAAACTTTAGTGGGGATGCTTGTGAAGAAAATCAAAAGCAGTCACCTGATAAGTCTTAATCCTAACTCCATTATCACTCTCAGAGAACTTAGCACCATCTACATTAATTCCCGAGACATAAGCTTTCGAATTGTCGTCCCCCAAGCTCCCAATGCTTCTCATCATAACGATCAAACAAAGATCAATATATTAGGTATATACTTACTTCATTGAATTGTAATTAGAAGAATCAAATTAACATCAGTATTTTCAAAAATATAGTTTTGCTACCCTTATATTAGGATTTTGAATTTTTTTAAATATGTATTAATTTACCTGATCCCGTGACCGGGGCCGCAAGTTAAATCAAAGATTTGAAGATTTTGCGTTCCATCCTCAATGGATATACAATCATCACCTATATAAAAGCAACCAAGAAGACGATTATGATTATTTCTGAATCAAAGGATAGTTACCGTACTTAGTTTAGTATTAACATGTGTTTGTTACACATAAATACACAATAAAGTACAATCATATATGAATCATTACCTGTTCCAATATCTGAGTTGGAGACTCGAATGTTCTGAGTATTAGTGATATGGATACCATCGGTGTTGGGACTATCGCCGGGAGCAGTGATCACAACATTACTAACTTCAACTTTGTTGCATTTCTCAATTGAAATTTGAATCTGCTGCGCATTTCTTACCCTCAGATTCTTCACATTCAAATTCTTTAAATTGTATAAAGTAAGAGCCTGCATTTGCATATACACATACACATGCAAATTTCAAAATCAAACGTTCACCTAGTTTGGATGTGAAAGAAATTAATTCTATCCATATACATGGATATACATGGAACTTTAATTTTATTTAAGTACCGTTGGCGCTTTTGTGCATGGCTGCATCAAAAAAAAAAAAAAAAAAAAAGATGTCACCAATTAATATTAGAGATGCTGACAAAGAAAAATTGATTAACATGATGACAGTTAACTATAGGTGTAATTTAAATAAATGTACACAATAATCTTTGTGTGAAAGATATACTAATTGGTGGAGTATATGTGTATACCTTAGATTTGTCGATTTTGCATGAGTTTTGCCACCAGATTTTGCCGTTGCCATTAATAATTCCCGTCGAGCCACCATCGAGTGATAGATTGTTAACGTCCTCTAAGATAAGCCAATGGTTTTTGTCTTTGTAATCTGAACGTTTCGTAGATGCTGATAAAGTGCCTAGAATCTGCAGTTAATTAAACAGTGAAAAAATCAACTAATTAAATTTATTAATTAATCGAAGATTATTGACTAATTAAAGTTGCCAAAAAAAACAAAAACAAACATTACCTGAAAGTTACGTAGGGATTTGCATGGACCTCTGAATCGAGTAGACTTAAGGAGATAAGTCTTCCCTTTAGGAACCAGGAAAGTAGTAACTCCATTTGTTGAACATGCTTTTTTCCATGCTTTCTTGAAGGCCTAAGCATATATTTTACACCCATACATGCATGCATCATCAATACAAAATAAAATATACCTATACAAAATAAAATATATCTATATATATTTATCTTCTACATCTATGATCGGTTTCACACCGAAAATACCGTAACTAGTTATTGATAAAACAAAAAAAAATTATATTCAACATTGCAAACATGTATATATAGTATACTACTAACCTGAGTATCATCGGTTTTTCCATCTCCTTTGGCTCCGAAGTTTAAAACACTAACGGTTGATGATTCCGAAGTGGTTTCATCGGAGCTTTTCAAGCTAAGAACATCATCGTTGTTAAGCTTGATCAAGCTATCGGATTCGAAGCTCCCATCTTCATGACCATATCCATCATCAACGTTGCTACTCAAAGCTTCACACAAAGAGAGCATCAAAATAACGCATAAGAAAACAGCAAGAAGTTTGCAACAACGAGCCATTTCGGTTTCGGTTGTGCTGAAAAAAAAAGAATGAGTGTTGTTTCCTTGTGAGTTAGATGAGAATGTTTGCTGTTTTATTCGGGATTATGTAATATGAAATTGAAGAAGTGGGAGGTATGAGTATTTATAGACGAATTGAGAGGAAAAAAGTTAGGTTTATTAAAGTTTTAATGGCGTCGGAGGTATGGAGAGAAATTGAGATTGATACGAAAACATCACTTTAAGCTTCAAGCCTTACCTCCTCTCCCCCTATTTTTTTTTTCATTTATTTATTTATTTTATAGTTTTAATTCTTCATTGAGAGTTTCACAGTTTAGTTACGTTTTTTCTCTATATTAATTTAGAAAAAGAGTTAATTTTCATCATCGTATATATACTATTCACAGTAACATTTCATCATGTGTAATTACTGAGCTAAGCAATGCGTGATGTATTTCCATACATAGATATCAAAAGTTGGAAAAAAAAAAAATCAACAAAAGTGACAAGAAAACATCGTTGTGTCCTGTGTCTCTCAAAGTTCGGTATTAGTTTTGGGTTCCCTTTTATTATTTCTTGCCTCTTCTTTTTTTTTGTGTGTGTGAGACTTATTTTCATCATATTTCGTTGTATCGCATATTAAATCTCATGCTTTTCTTAGAAAAAAGCTCTTATATTCCTCAGCTTGGCATGTTTATTTTAAAACTCTCATATTAACTAGATGCTTTTATCATTAGTTTTCAAAAGTTTCCTCAAACGGCGTCATAGACTTGTAAGTTCCAACTAACATGAGAGTAAAAAAAAATAATAGACAGAGGACTAATCTGGATTATTATCTTGGATATGTTAAAATCTGGATATTTTTGCTATCTAAAATGTTACTCATAACCAAACATGATTAAAAATTAATGAACTACACCTGATTTTCCAACCTCTAATAAATCTACTAATCATTAAACCAACATGAATTGGTATAACGAAATTGAATTGTTAGGCGCACTCGTGAGATTAGAATGAACTCATTAAGTACATGTCCGGATGTCCCACTGAGAAAGTGCAGATTGCTATGTTGTGGACTTTAAATTAATTAGAGTCATGGTCAGTTATCAATACTTATTTGAAATCAACACGTTGCCAAGCTGGTGACAAACGAATGTGTTAAATAGTTATAATTCATTTAATTTTGAAGAAAGTTAGGATGATATATACGAACCGCCAGAGTAACATAATGTGCAAAAGTACCAAATTCAAATTAGAATTGTAAATACGTAAACGGCAAATACCTAATGTAATTAATGATTGAAAAGGTGTGGTAAATGATAACGATAATATAATTCAAATTATTCATGCCAACATGATCTAATTTGTTGGAAAATCAACTGAAAAGTTGATCGGGAACAACTTTGCATTCAACTCTCAAATGATGAAAAATATTAGTCTCAAACTCTTTAGTACAACACGTCTCGTAAATTTTGGTATGGTTGATTAGTTGATCAAAACCATATGAAAATACCAATTTTCTTCCAAAAAATAAAATAAAAATACCAAGTTACTTTAGAAATTTAGTTATGAACCTTATGATCTACTGATAATGTCAAATTATTTTTAAGTACGTATTTTGTTATTGAAATCATCTTAAGCAAAATTTTTTGCTTGGGGAAGAGTTCGCCCTAAAAACTTCTCTCCCAGACACGAAAACCAAGGCAGCCGCAAGCCTTCACGGGATGAGTTTTTTCCACCAGCGTTGCTTCTCCGGCAGCCTTCTCTTCTAATCGGTGGTACTTCTAAGGTGAGATCTCTCTAGTGAACCTCCTTTTCCGGTGACGTATCTGTTTTCCGGCGAGTTTTTCACATGAGATGACTTCCTTTTGTCTGTTGAGTTCGAGCCACTCTCGTCGCTTACCGTTTTCTTCGGTCGCCTTCCTCGTTCTGAGGCCCCCTCCTGCACCACCACCGGAGCCTCCTTCTCCGCCGACTCCACCGGAGCCACCGGATCCGCCAGACCCTCAAATCTGCCACACCCTCACCTTTACTGAATCTATTGCTCAGCCTTTGAGTCCTCTTCAGTCACAGCGTAGCTCCTCCTCCATCCAGCAAAGCTTTCCACTGCTTCCCGATGACTCTCCCTTTGCGATCTGGTTTGGAGAGTTTGGTTCTCTTCCCTGTCCGACCTCTTCAACCACTGCTCCGGTCAGTGATGTCCACTACCTTGCCGAAGCCATCACTTTAACTCCTCAGAATTTCCCCCAGGTATGCTCTTGCTGTTCGCCCTCTAATTCTTCTAAGATGGGAAGGATATGGATGTTGGTAGAGCTTGTGGCTTTGGTCTTGTGGAATCTGGTTTTGAGTAAGTTGGTATTGTGGAATTCAAATGTAACTCATTCGCTTTCCATGGGCTTAGATACTTTTGTATCTACATTTGTGCTCTCGTGTAGCGCCCTTACACTTATCGCTTCAATGCGATCATTTACCGCAGTATGCGGATTCTATATCTATTTGGCTATGTTTACAGTTGTTTTGTTGCAGCTTGGACAAAGTTCTTTGAGTATAGACAACCAGCCAGGTTTCCTGGTTCCTTGGGGCTTTCATAGCCTTCATCTTTCCTTTATGGAGCTTATTTTCCTTCCAAATACTTCACTTGTGTTTAGTGGTATTGTTATTGGAAGCATGATGTTCAAGACTGTTCTGCTTGAAGTAGAAGCGAGGATTGTTGTTCAAGACTATTTTCGTTCAGCTTTTGCTGACTGTTTGACGGTAGTGTCGCTGGAGGCTTTGTTTCCTCCTCCTTGTGGTGTCGACAAGGACTTCCAAGCTAAAGGTGGCTGCTTTATTGGATGCTCTTGGGCTGATGCTTCTCTGGTAGAACTTGCTAGTTCACCCTTATCCCAAAGTCTCATTTTGAGCATTGTTGTTTATGTTAGCTTTTGCTTTTGCTCGACCACTTTGTTAGTCGATGTTTTGGCTTATTCGGTTCTTTGTAGCCATGATGTATCCTCTCTTAGTAGAGGTTAAACTCTTATCCTTTTTATGATATGCTAAGTTTGTCCAAAAAAAAAAAAATCATCTTAAGCATTATTTTCTATGATTTCAAGGTGTCTTTCAAAGAAACTTGCGGTGCGGCCAAAAGAAACCTAAGAAATACTACAATGCATGGGACTTCAAGAACAATGGTGAAGACTTGATGCCCATACGTATATTCTTATCGATTAATAAGCACAAAAGATCACGTACTTATCCTTTATCATACGAATACTTTATCTAATTGTTTTGTGGTATAGTTACCAAATAATTAATACAAATATTTGAATATGTATACATACATATGGGGTAAAAATAGGCAGAAGTTAAAGGCATGTGCGTAGTTTGCTTGAGAGACCTAAAGGTATGGTCGAAACTCGAAAGTCATGTCTTTGGAAATTTATCTAGTCGTTGTTATAACTTGGCCTTAGTTATTGCTTCCTTCTTTGAATTTATCTCTTGTATTTTTCTTAATTAATGGTTAGGATTCAACTTGCTCATCGTTTTCATGGATGTCAATTTTTCATCTTACTTTTTTTTTTTTTTAATTACTTGTTGTTGGTAAAAGAGCAAAGAAAGATAAACTCAAACTCTGGAAAAGATAGAAAAGACATGTACGTTTGAAATTGAATGCTTTGGGGGTTTTAAATTTGTGAAATTAATGTTGTACTATGTTACTCGTTAGAGATCCTAAAGGGTGTGATTAGTGTGTAACGTTTCATGGAATGGAAAAATATCAACAAAAAACAGAGTAAAATATTCGTTTATTTGAGTTTTTTTTTAACACCAATCAAGTAAAATCTGGAACAGAAATTATTCCGTGTTGAGTCGTCAGATTGTCGTAAAACAAAATGAATTTCGAAGAGACGAGATGATGACGTATTCATGGACATTTTATTGTTCAAAATAATGGTACTAGCTAGTATCTGTTAATTTCGTTGGTGTGAATATATAGTATGGAAGGTGTTAAAAAGTTTATGATCATCATATAACTGACTTGTCATCATTATTCGTATTGACCCCTTAAGTTACGTTACTCTATATGAAACTTGTTCTGATTTTTTAGGAATTGTAACTTGTAAGAGTGTCGGTTTTCAATTTGTTTCGCTAAGACTATAGATTTGTTATAAGAAAAAATGCACCAACAATTCTAAAAATAAATCATTAGCCTCTTTATCAAAAAATATATTCTAAAAGCCTAATCATTACCCTCGTAACCTCGTTAGGCTTTCGTTTGGTTTAATTCCTTCCAAATAGACAGACCAAATAACCAGGATTTAATTTCAGATCGATCTATCCGTGTCAGCCAGACACTCATTTATTTTGGATAATTACTTCACCGACTATTACTATTTGGGGATTTGAGGTTGGTAAAACTCCAGTTTCATTTGAGAGGAAAGCCAAAAATAGTTGATTAGGAATTTAGGAGCAAATTATTTTTCAAAGGAATATTATTAGAACAAAACTACAAGGGTACGGTGGTTCCCTAACTTAACGAGATTACATTATTACAAAGCCAAGATACTACAATCATTAAATTCCTAATTTATTGATACCTTATACTACAAAATGATGAATGACAAAATAGTGAAAGAATAGCCCAAACTACATTGAAGCTTTTTGGTCTAGACCAGAATCTCAACATGCCATCTGAACATTTCCTCCCTAGTCACCGGCAGATTCAATGTCACAAGTCCAACCTCCGCGTCGTACGTGAAATCGGTCTCTGTGCTTTCAACGGCGCATCTTAGTGGACGCTGAGAAGAGTAAGCTCCAAAACGACCACAGCCTCTCACACTGAGAGATATCAGAGCTGTTGGAGAACGGTTATCGCTGAGCGCAGGAGAAGCCGAAGAGACCTCTCCATCGAAGAGTTCAGGTTTCTTGTCTGTCACGGGATTGATATCCATCGACTCGATAGCCCCGCTTGAGTTGAACATGTCTAGCAGTCCAATAGGTGCGAACGAGATGTTTCCAGTGATTTCCTGTATAGCCAAATTTCCAAAAGATAAGAAAAAAGATTTCGTCATTCACATTATGATTCCAAGTTGTTATCAATCCAAGTCATAGTAATATACAACAACGCTAAACGTACCTTCAAAGGAGAAATGTGGAAGAGTTCATATTCAAGAACTTTGAGGGTGAGAGGAATTGAAGCACCTTTTGGTAGTCTTACCACCTCTCCTGTAAATCAAAACCAAGCTCATGCTTTTAGTATTGATCTGAATTTTCGAGTTTTTTTTTGCTTGTTTGAGGAAAGTAGATTGATTGATTTTTATACCTGATCTGTAAGCATAGACTATTGAATCTCCACTCCAATCTTCACCAGCCACTTGAGAGATTTGATCAGCATCATCCGCACAGACTGAACCCGTGAGTGTGCCAGGAGAAGTATCATGAATCTGGTTCTTCTTCGTTTCCTTGCACCAACCAGCACCTTGACAGTTGAACACACCCACAATACCAGTAAACTTATTCATGTTCCAGATCTTGAGCAAGCTGAAAAAAAAAATCAGTTTTCGCAAGTGTTAGGCTTAGACTTAGGAGTGGAAAATAAAGAAGAGAAGAGTTAGTTAGAAAGCAGGCAAACCTGATTCCATCTCTAGCTGGATCAGCGAATAAGCAGTCACGAGTAGGCCTACCCGGAAGCTTAGCACGAAGAACTGAACCATCGGGAAGGACCAGCTTCCTCAATAGATCAAAGTTGTGGTTTCCTGGCTTATCACTGCTCATGTAATTTGACAAAACATATCTCCAGTTAAACCTCTGACTAAACATTACGTAGTCAGAACAGAATTAAGTTAAAAGATGAGAGGAAGGCTTTACCTGACATAGATTGCGCATCCACCCACTGCACGCGCTGCAGCATGGTACTCTGCAGTTGGGTGTAGACTCTGAAAACATCAAAGCTTCAGTTAGAAATAAACTCATGATTCTTAGACTTGTAAAGACATAAAATTTCTCTTTACTTACATGGAACATATCCCAGTCTGGTTGCATGAACTCTCCAAGGAAAAGGCTGTTATATGCAACCGATGCAATGTGGATGGTGTGAGAAGCAGGATCTCTTGGGTAGAAATCATCGGATGCTCTAACAATAGCGGTTTGTTTCGCACTGTAAAGTCCATCTGTGTTGTGACACATGCAAGATATGCAACCATTATCTGTGAAGTTCCGGGCAATGGAAGCTTCTAAAGCTTGGTGGTAGCTACGAGTGAGAGAGACTCTCCCACCAAGACCAGCACCGAGGGTTTCGATGATGTTCTGGACATCAACTTTGACTCCATCTACACCACATGAAGCCAAGTAGGAATGCAGTTCGTTGTAGAAGTTGAAAACTTTCTTGGGGTTGACAAGTCCGAGACCATGAACAGCAAGGCTGTCCATTACTATATCTGGTTGGTTCCCTAAGACACCTGGGGACTGAACTGGGTATGCTAATTCACTATCATAGTGTTCCATTCCCGAAGCAGCGGGTTTAACTCCACCCCAGTATCCAGCTAAAGCATGCCACGCATAAACTTGCCTGTGAATAAAGAAGTCAAGCCATGTAAGTATGCAATGCTTTTTGTCAATTGCTCGATGTTGTGATTAAACAATCAGCTTGAAGACCAGAGTGTTACAAATTAAGAAGAAAGGACATACTTCACATTATGGCGCTGCTTCGCATTGTCAACTACACTCTTTAGTCCTGATACTTGCGTATCCTTCTGATCACCCTTCTGAAATTTTGCATTCTCCTTGATACCAACAAGTCTAGTAGCAAACCTGCATACATAAGAACACAGGAAAATTTAGCATTTTCCATGCCAAATTCCAATAAAATCTAACAACTGTAGGATATCCTCAAGCTCGAGCTGCCTAGTGAGCACACTCACACCTTACTTATGAACTAAAGATTTAAAAATTCCAATGCACAGACTGAAACAGATGAATCTAATTTTTTCACCCACATGAGCTTTATTTTAAAATACTCAAGCCTCGATCTAGTTTTGCTGGACTATTATTTGGTGAACTGTATTTAAGATGCCCATCTACATGTATACAAAATTAAAAGAGCGAGAGATCTTACTGTGCTCCTTCCTGGACAACGCAGTTTTCATCTTTCTCTTTGTTTTCTATTTGTTGCCAACCATCGTCTATGATCAGAAACTTTGGAGGGGTACCTCCTCCAGAAAGACTGCAATAAACCAAACACATCAGTGACTCAATAAACTTATACAGCGTTAAGCAATTACAAGTATATTAACAATATGCCGCTCTACTTCCATATGAAAGTACCTTTTAAGGCCTTCATCAACACCTTCGGCAGTCACATCTGTGTAGAACGCGTCCCATGTGCACCAGCCAAACCAGTCAAGGAAAGAAGGAAGCTAAACAAACAAAGACAAAGACAATGATGAGATCATATCAAATCAGAGTGAACTCTTTCTGTGACCAGAGCCATGAAATGTTCACTCACCTTCTTCTTCTCACGATGATGAAATGTCTGCATGTGTCTCTCCACAGCCCTGTAAAACACAAAGTATTCCGCATAAGAAAACATATACAACCTTCACATCAATGAAACAGAAGCAGAGCATAATATTTTGGCTATTGTTTTGAACATACTTTACGGATTGTCTGATAACTTCAAAGGGATTGGTTCCAGCATGAACATAGACAAGGTGAGTTCCCTGGCTAGTTTCCACCGCCTTATCTCCTGCAAATACAAAAATCAACCAAAACGAAATTTAAATTCTTAGGTCTGGAAGTTGTGAGCTAGTTTTTATAGATCATCTGTACAACAAATTCCCGTACCGCTCTCAAGACAAATCTCTATCTCATTCTTCTCATTTCCTTGAAGAACAGCTCTGAACTGGCCTTCAAGAAGAGGAAGAAAGACGGTATAAATAGTCGGAGCATCATCCCCATTTCCTTCAACTTCATCCTTGCTCTCCAGTAGCATGAACTGTGTCTCCAAAGGAATATCTTTTCCACAGCTTCCCATTCTCTGCGTCATCCACCATAGTTTAAACCGGAAACAGCACATGAATCGAAGACCCCTACGAAAGATTAAAGAACAATAAGCTTAAACAACCATCAAAGGACCTGAATTGCTCAAATAAGTTATAGAAGAACACGTATTTAGGTGCTTACTCCAATACACCGACGGGGAACACATGAAGACTCTTGCTTTGTTCAAACGTTGCGCCTATAAATGCACCGGAAACGAATCCATTACCGGTAACCGGAGTAAGGATAATGTTGTCGGGGATTTTGGTTAGGATAGTCTTCCCTTGAACAACGAGGTTGTCGTTCTGTACAGAGATATTTGATGTAATCGTCATCTTCTCAACGCCGCTTATAGATTAACTGTCTCAGATAATCATAACAGATAAACAAACAACGTCAGGAAACAGATCCTTCAAGAGGAATTAAACAAACAAAATCCAAATTAGAATCTTTCCAAAAATAGAATATGAATCTAAAGATGCCATTTGGAGATTTCAAATATCATTCATTTCAGATTCTTCCAAAGAACTGCAGATGACGGTGAGATAAACGGAATCATCATCGGAAAAATACTATCCTAAAGGAGCAACAAACTATCAAATCGAAACTTAAACCCGCTCCTACCACAAAGGTCTAGAAAATTCGAAACAATGACTTAAAACATTCAATAAAATTTGAGTTTGAAACATAAGAATGAAACCAGAAGTACTCACCGGATAGCTACTTGTTTCGTCCGAGCTCGAAACACGGCGATATGAGGGCGATATGAGTTTGCAGAAGCTAAATGTTGCGTGTGCAAAAAAAAATAGAGAACACGGAAACGCCGCCAAAAGTGGTAGCGCCGTCAATGAAGAAGATGCAGTGGTGAATCAGTAATCGGAACGGTGAGTTTGGCTAATGAAGGTGGCGGAGAAGACGCTTTATATATGCGAGGAGATTTGGCAAGAGCCGTTGCGATGTTGACACGTGTCATATTATTACCTTTTTCCGTGGAGATGAAAAAGTTGCTAGGAAAAATCGTGATGTTTTTGTCTCTCTCTTATTTGCTGAATCAGAGACAACTCATTACAAAAAAAAATACTCCCTCTGTCCCATTTTATTAGATGTTTAGACTAAAAGCACATAGATTAAGAAACAATAAATGTTTTCTCATTTATGAAAATTCAACCAATAGAAGAAGATACTGCATAATTAAAATAATTAAAAACTATTAAACTAATATAAATCATGCATTGAAAGTAGAGAAAATCTTATATAATGGAACAAATAAAAATGCCTATAACATCTTATATATTGGGACAGAGGGAGTATAATATTTCTGTTGTTCTTTTGTTTTTACTTTCTTTCGATTGTGTCAATTTTTTTTTTTATAATCTTTTTCTCCAAAATAGCATTTACATTGATTTCTTATATTTTTATAAATGAATTATAATAATTGTAGTGGATATAAATTAAAAATTAGTGGTTGAAAATCTATTAAAACATACCAAATTTGGCCTAATTTTAAAATGTCAACTACAATGAAACGGTGAAATGTTGTCAGTAGAGAAATTGCTACTCTGAAATGTTGAAATTATGGGTTTTTTTTCAAGCTGTGCAAGAAATCATATTAAATATCGAATCAAATCAAATTACGAAACTATAAATCGTAGTTAATCTTTTACTCATTGATACAAATCATAACGAAGTCCAAATGTACAAGAAACGTGTAACGTAGTTCCATACGCGTCTTTTTAAATTAAATTTCCTAGTTGAATCGCGTGTCTTTGGGAATGCCAGTAACATATACACATGCCTCACCGATTCACCCATAAGTTTTATGTATCTTTAATTAATACTTTTGTTTGATTTTTTTATAGTCCTAGGAAATGACATATCTGTATTATTGCTGATCAGATTTGAAAACCTTAAGGACAAAGTCAATTCACGAGTCTTGTTCAGTGGGTATTCAGGTATCTCGATAATATAACATTATCACATTGGTCATTGGTAATATTCAGGTATACCTCGATTCTTGGATTCAATATTTTGTTCTAAAAGAAGACAAAATTGTGACATCGGATAATCTTCAAGGCAAATATCTACTTTTCCTATGTTGCAAGTAATATTATGTTAAAACTTCAACCAGAACATTGTATGGACCGAAGACCGAAGCAATTCCATTAATGTAAGTTTGGTTCAGAGTACTTAAAAACTGTCCTCAAAACTTTTCAACAAAACGACGATCGAAGCCGCCCAATACTATAAACACACGATATAAACAGACACATGTTTAATACGTTACTTTAAATTGAGAACTGGGGAGAAGATATAATGCAAGTTGTGTTTTAGTTTGACTCCTTTGCGGAGCAAAACATAACAACGTCGCTGAGAGATACGGACCGTAACACATACTCACTTGATGTCACGATCCTTATCCGCTTATCTGGAACCACGTGTGTGGTCAACACTCGACGACCGGTTTGAACCGGGTTGATTAATTCTTCACTTGTGGCTGCTCTTTCGTACTAAAAGCCACTTCTTGTTATGGATAATACATGGAACGACACACCGATAATTAATAATAATGCATGTTACGATAATGTTTTAAATCGAATCTAATACATATTCGTAGTAGGTCCGTCGATCGGTATGGATTATGAAGATAGAGTTTGATATATATTGACTCATTATCTTATCGTTTTTCTTTGTTGGTTTGCATTTCGAACACTTGGTTTTTTCTCCATCGTTGATTCAATTAAAACGAAAAAGAAAAAAAAGAAACACACACAATCTCCTCTCGTTCAGTCATTCCTAATCATTGCATTTTAATTCGGATTAAGATGGAGTATATTTTTCCCAAAATAACTAAAAGAGAAACAACAAGTAGTCAAATAAAGTTGGTGAAGTTTTTGTAATGAAACGGCGCAAGTGGGTCTCATCCACGTCAGCTCTAGTTAATCAAATGTTAAAAAGATCTAAAGTATCTAGCATTGATCAGTTCACCATGTCCTTGTCTAGATTCCTTTTTCACTTTCGACTTTTATCATTTGGTGTCATGTGTGATACGATTATAAATTTTGTTGGCTCTATGTATATAATTTTTATACGACGATTAATCAATGATAATTACGGTGATTACTATAATGTTAACTCTGTAATCATGATTAGTGTCGTTCCAAAGCATATAGTTTATTTACTACAAGGTCGACATCGGACATGTGTATCCTTCGTGTACCGTTCATCCTCACGCCTTTTGCATGATTGATTTGTTTTAATGATTTTCAATCAAATTTGGTAACAATACAAAATCGCCACGTAAGTCTCCCGTGTCGATGAGACTACTATGACGTGGATATTTATTAGACGTACTAAAAAGCAATGATTTGAGTTAAATTGTCTTTTTACTTGTATGTTTGTGATTGTAATACTTAACAGATGTCAGCGATGCTATTTCCATATACTATTTGTGGGTATCAAATTTGTAGTATATCAATATCATGAACAGTTGTGAACTCAGCTAGTAAAAATGATTTCTAAAAATTTCACTTTTTATACGATTGTTGATCAAATGATAGGTGTTTTGATGCTTGATGGCAATGATATAGAGGACACAAAATTTAGTCCACTTGTTCAGATTTGATGCCGCGAGATAAGCCAATAACGACGTTTATTATCGTTTGGTCTGAATTTTTTTCTCAACTAAACTATATATAGCTCCTTATATGTGTTGATAAAAGTTTAGAGCCAATAGTATATTTTCCGACTTTCGTTAATACTTATTTAAAACATTGTACAATTTTGCTTTTTCAAAAACTGTGACCACAAAAGTGAAGGCACAAAGGCAAAGTCGACCCTTGACAAAACGACAACGGTTTACACTGTTTTTTTGTTCCTTTTCCAGGAAAAAACGAAATGGGACTTAAGATTTTGATTACAATTTGCAGTGTAAGTTTATTTGTAAAGCAACCTCTCATTGTCAAAATCCATAACTCATTTGCTTGATGAGTTTTGAGGAGATTTGTTGAGGTTTGTTAAGTTCTTGTTGATTGTGCAACTCTACTCTGATAAAAGGCTCTACATCTTCTGGATTTCCCAAAAAAAAAAAAAAAAAAATCCAACCTCTCATATAATTCTTGAATGATTATAGAAAATTACAGATTGATCACAAGAAAAATTGATGATATATCTTATCCACATATGATTATACAAAATATCTACACACAGCCAAAGGCCAACAATCTTGTTCTCTCTTGATCCGTACTCGGTCGCTCTTCAGCCAGGAAATCAAACACACAACTTGTACAACTTTATATGCCTAAAGCTTTAATCGTGGTGTCATTAAAAGAAAAACCAAAAGATAAAAATAAAGAAATGAAGAAAGATTTGCATCCCTTTGATTCAATCTTCCCATGCTTAGTTACACAGATTCAGCCTCTCATCTTGTATCACCATTTACCTGCAACGACGCATCTTGCATCAGTTTGAGACTGATACTGTTAAACCGTTCTCTCGAGTATTGTCTCGAAGCTTTTCTCCAATCTGTTCCTGTTTTCATCATCGTCACAAACTCTTCGTAACTTATTCTTCCATCCTGCAAAAAAACAAATTCATGATGGTTAGTTCTTCTATGAGATGGGACTTTTTTCAACAAGAAAACGAGAGTGAAATGGTGAAGTTAACCAACCTTATCGGTATCAACATCACGAATAATGGCATCAACGACTTCTTCGCTTGTACCAAGTTCGTCAGACAACGCTTCCCTTAACTCCTCTATTTCGATATATCCGTTATTGTTTTGATCAAAGAACGCAAATGCTTTCTTGAGATGCTCGTCATTGCCCATTTTCCTTAGGTGTACCGATATGGCAATAAACTCGTCACAGTCCAAATATCCATCTCTATCGATATCTCCCTGCAAAAAGAATAAAGCATCCAGAGCTCAGTGAACTGCGTTAATTCACAAAATCGGTATTGAAAAGTAATGGTAAGTAAAGCTTACAGCATCCATCAGAATTTGTAGATCATCTTGGGGAATGGCATGACCAAGTTTCTGCAACCCGATTTTAAGCTCGTCGATGTTAATCTTCCCTCTTTGGCTTGTGTCCATTATTTGGAACCCTTCTCTTATACCTGAAGCTTCTTCATCTGATAAATGCTCAGCAATAACCTATCGAGAAAACGTAAAAAGACCAAAGGAAACTATTGTTAGGCTTTTTGGATCAGAAGAGATATATATGTTCGGATAGTTTATAGATAATAGTATGTATTTTACCCTGAGTGCTCGTTTCTTGAGCTTGTTCATGACGGTGAACTGCTTCAACCTTGCCCTGACTGTTTCACCCAATGATACATTGGGAGCTGTCTTTGCATTCTGTAACCACGGATGATCTGGGGAAAACGAAGCAAAGACCGATTATTACTCTTTGTCTGTCTCAGATTCCATATAAGCAAATTGCATCATCAGAAACCATAAATATGTACCTAGGACTTGTTGAGCTGTAAGACGACGCTTTTGGTCAGGATCAAGCATTTTCCTGATAAGGTCTTTTGCGTTTTCAGAAACCTTGGGCCATGGGTCCCTTCTGAAGTCTAGTACAGATCGAATAATTGCTTGTGCAACTCCTTGTTCAGTTTCTGAAAATGGTATAAACAAACAGAAGACAAGGTTCATTATTCTTATGATCACTCCAAATATGTCCTCTTGAGACACAATTGCCACAGACGGCCCACAAAGAAGGGAACATAGACTGACAAAACTAACCTGCCCAGAAAGGCGGGACACCACAGAGCAGTATGTAGAGAATTACACCGGCACTCCAAATGTCAACTTCTGGACCATAATTCCGTTTTAGCACCTCGGGAGCCATGTAGTACGGACTACCAACGATTTCGTCAAACCTCTCGCCTGCAAAGAAAACAATGATGTGGGTTAAGATTGTTGCCATACCGCAAAGTGGATCAGCTTTCAATTGAGCACCAAGACCACATTACCTGGCTTAAAGAAAACAGAGAGACCGAAATCAATGGCCTTGAGAGGTGCAGTCTCCTTCTTATTTCCAAACAAGAAGTTCTCAGGTTTCAGGTCCCTGTGCATTACCCCATGCTTGTGACACACCTGCAAGAACACACTCATTAAACTCACATCTAAAATCAATCCACAAGACTTTCAATTTACATGAAAAGAAATGAATTTTGAATTTTTATGCAGCAAATTGAGCCCTTTAAAGCAATGCTACAAATCAATAATGTCCAAGAAACTGAAACCAAGACATTAAACAACTCTCAATCCTGTAAACAAATAAAGTGATAAATAGAAAGCCAAAACCTTGACGAACCTGAACAACTTCCATGATGGTCTTAGTGACAGCAGCAGCAGCTCTCTCGGTATAATGCCCTCTAGCAACAATCCTATCAAACAATTCACCACCTTCACAAAGCTCCATAACCAAATGCACAGCATGCTCATCCTCAAAAGTCTCCTTCAAAGTAACAACATTAGGATGCTCAGGCATATGCCTCATGATCTCAACTTCTCTCCTAACATCCTCAATATCAACAGCTGTCCTCAGCTTCTTCTTCAAAATCGATTTACAAGCAAACACGTCGTCTGTCTCCTTATCAGTACAAAGATACGTAACACCGAATTCTCCACGACCTAACTCTCTCCCCAACGTGTATTTAGACTCTATCTCACGACCTGTTGGATCATTCAAAACGATAAGCTTAAGACGTCTTCCACCTCCATCTCCACCACCGTGGTGAAGACCGTAATCAATCGAGAAAGGGTTTTGCTTCTTCCTTCCTTTTTTGGGTTTGTTATCGTTTTGAGCCAATGATCCTGCTGTTCCACAACAATTACCCATGATTTTTCCGATCAAATCTTCTCTCCCACGCCACAAAAAAAAAACAAATCAAATCCGATGCAGCTTGAGAGATTGAGGACTAAATTCCAGGAAAGTGGGAAACTTTAAAGAATTGAACTTTGAGAGAAATCTGAAGAGATGGATGAGAAAAACGAAGAAGATGAAGAACATATATGAAAGGGTGGAAATTTTCAACGCGTGATTACGAAGAAGAACGTCAAAATCATTGTTCGATGGTTCTTCGAAAATCATAAAAATGAAAATTAATTACAGAGAGAGAGATGATGGAAGGAAGGTCAAGAGAATCTTCTTCCCTCCCTTCTTCTCCAGCTGCTCTATGATTGATTTTCGATTTTTCCTTTTTTTTTTTTTGTCTGTTTCTTTTTTTTTACTTAAATTTTTTTAATTTTTAGGAATGTTTCCCATTACATTACTCTAATGTGAAATCAAAATGCCTTTAGCTTTACTGAATTACTATTGACAATATTGCCCTCCATGTGATCTTAAGGTCAGGCTTAAATACACCAATTGTTTTCTTTCCAAGCTCTTTATTTTGATAGAATGCCTATTTATCTCCGTGAAATAAATCATACAGTTAAATACGAAGATAGGGGTGTTTCAGGAATTTACCAGAGGAATTAAACATGAAGCGGGAGTCTGTGACACGTTCTTAACTATGTGCCGTGGAAAAAAAAATTAAGGGTGAAATCGTAACTAAGCGGCAACCTTTATTTTATGTTTTCCTTTTTTTGTTAATTAAAAAAGGTCAAACCCGGCGATTTTGACTATTTTTAATCACTTTCGTCGGACCCAACTAACTAAATTTTTTGACTTCGATACAACCAAACAACATAATTACTCAAAGTTATTTGCTTTTTTCTGTCAAGTAGAGATGATTATGGTTTTCAATTAAAAATCTTGCAGACTCTACAATCAAATAGATAAACGCATTTTGATGAAGAAATCGATTTTTTTTCTTTTTTTTTGTCAACTAATTTAATACTTATTTAGACTACAGATATATCTGCAATTGGGTCGAAACCTGGATTTAAAAGGAACATAAATACTTTAAAACTTACTTCAAAGTTAGTCTATATATAAAATAATTTACCAAAGTCAACGGAGTAGGAATGAGGTAAGAGACTTTGTTAGATGCGTCATATCCAGAGCTCCTGATGAACATTCCTTTCCTTACACGAGTGTTTCTATTACTCTTACCAAGACAATGATTTATTCAATTTGTTTACTTAGATTAGCATTAATAAAAAGACCGTTAACTGTAATAGATAATTAGTGAAGAAAATGAGGGGTTTTGTTTTATACACTATAGTGTTTGATCATTTTACATCATTTGTTAACATAAATTATTCTATCTATACAAATGGACAAATCAAAAGAAAAATGTAAGACTTAACAAAGAAAGGCTAGGTAGCCCATTATGGCGGAAGCACAACCGAAAATAAGCCTTTCTTCATTAGCCCATCTCAAAATCTCCTCCTGTTTCACTTCCTCTCTCTTTCTTGCACTCGTGTGTAAGAATTAAGATCCTGTTTGTGGTAAGAATTACATAGACCTTGTATGTAAATATGTTTAACGCTCGTTTGAGCGAGATTTTGGTGGATTTTCGGGATTCCTTTCCAGGGAGACGTATGGTTTGAGACACGCATATGGAATGACAAAACGATATCACAAATCAGTGGCGGAGCCAGAAATATTCTTTACGGGGGTCAATATTGTGTTATAATATTTAATTATTTATTTGGAATAAAAGTTTATCTTTGATTTTTTTTCAAAATTTTTTAGGTATTACTATTAGTTTTTTTCATTAAAAAACGAGAACCACAAATAATATTGTTAGTGTTGTACACTTCATAAATTATTGTTGTTTTTGGATAAAATATACATTGCTTTAGAAATTCTTAATTTTTTTTTGTGTGAAATACAAGAACATCCATATGTTATACATCTTTTTTGTTACTCAAAATGATTATTTATCCACACGTCTAGGTAAATTCCTGTTAAGTTTAGAGGAAAGACATATTAAACAATTAATAGGGGAAATAATGAAAACAGTTACCAAAGAAACTGTTTAAAATAGGGCTAGGAAATAGAAGAAAATTAGAAATTGATATATTAGAAAAAAGGAAAGAATTAAAAGATATGCTTAAATGGAAGAAACAAAATTAACAAAGGGTGCAAATATAGAATGTGAACGTGGAGTAAAGGGGTCAATTTAATATTTCAAGCCAAATTATAAACTAAATACCAAATATTTAAGCTTTATAAAGGGAATTTATAAAAGTTATGGGGGTCAAGTGACCCCCCTCTTACTGATGTAGCTCCGCCACTGTCACAAATAACATTTTATTGTTTTTTGTATACAAAGTTGAAAACATATAACTACAGTATATAAGTACCTTTAAAACTCTTACATTCTATATATACACACATTGATTCCCATCAGAAAATGGTACTTTGTAGCCTATATATATATTGAGAAATTTGGATGTAATTAAAACTAGCAATAGCTTAGCTAGGAGAAAGTGAAGAAGGATCGTTTGGCCGGAGGTCGTCCCACGGCTCTCATTAGATTTGCGACTTCAAGCACCCTCGCAACCTCCGTCCCTCTTTTTCCTTCTGCCGTCGCTCTCCTCTCTTCCGCCTTCCTTTGAGCTTTTGCCACTTTGTTTTGTGTTTTCTCCATGGCCTTTGCTCTCCTATCTTCCAATTTCCTCTGCATCCACATAAATGTATCAATGGCATAATCTATTATTCCAAAGACAAAATCGACCGTCTAGCTAGTCAGTCATTTGGATCGTTTTCTTACATCTCAAATATTTAATGTATCACACATTTTGATCTATGAATTATTTGTGTTTCTGCCTTTTTAAAAAATAAACCCACTATCTTTACATTTTTTCTTCTTCTGTGATATGCATTTTGAATAAAAATTTCATTTGCTAATTGCAAAACTTCAATTACAAACAAAAGAAGAATGCTTGTTCACGTTTATCGTTTGTAGTTTGAAAACGTTACATATTTTTTCTAAATTACTTTTGTTACACATGTAAAAGCAAACAGTTTCAAGAATAATCAGAGCCTAACAAGTCACCTTGTTCTCTTAATCGATCGGATCTAACTAATTAAGGTATTCGTAAAAGAGAAAAATGAGTCACCTCGATTTTCTTCATCCAAGAGTTAGCTTTATGAACCTGCTCATTCAACCAACCGTTAATAACGGCGTCTTGTCTCTTAAACCTATTATTAATCTTAGCCACTTTCGCCGTTTGCCATGCCGTTATCTTCGCTTCCACCTCTTCTCTCTTCACCCTCTGCACCGAAGCAGTCGTCACCATCCGATTCTGACCACTTGATGAGGCCAACACAATATTATTATCCTCCGAACCGTCGCGGTTATTGTAACCGTCCGGTACAATCGCCCATGGATTTGCATCCTCCTCAGGCACCTGACCATGATCTCTAACGTCATCGTTTTCGCCGATCCTAGTCAGCTCGTTCCTTTCATCACGTATGACGTCACGGTGACCACCTGACTGGTTACTTCCGTTACTGTTGTTGTCCATGGAAGATCCAGCGATGACTAGAGCGTTGAACTCTCTGCTCACGGTGGTGAAATTCTCACCGGAAGAAGTAGTTCCGTCGCTAAAAGCAATAGACCTCGACGGAGACAAGTATCCTCCTCCTCCCCTTTGTTGTGGCCGAGTAAGCTCCGTCGTCGTTGTCATCGCGTGAATATCTCTCACGACGGTTTCCGACGGCGGTGTCTCATCCCGGCGATCGGAAGCATCGGCCGTACTTGTGGTGGAGTTCTCCGTTGAACTTTCGTGACCGTACAAAGTCAACATCAGAACTCAGAAGAGTTGTAGTAGTAGTAGTTAGTAGTGGAGTGTTGTAATTAGATAGTTTAGGTCTGATTATAATTAGGTGATGGAAGGAGAAGAAACAAGGTAAGGCATAAATAATCAATGATTAGGATTTAATAATTCGTGTAACGAATTAAAACGTTTAGTTTCCATGAGAGGTAAAATGATAACAAGTGTAAAGTCTTTTCCATGAAAGCCACGTTCGTCCAGTAAATATGCGACTACATTTATTAAGACGTGTTCTTTTAAGATATTTAGCAAGAAATTGATTTATTAATTCGGTGGAAATTATTCTAATTGCTTGTTTTAATTTAACTAAACCTTTAACCTAAATTCGGTACAATTTTTTTTATATTCGAGAGCATCGTGAGAGATCTTTAATTAGAAAATAATTAATTGAAGCCTTCACAAGGCAAAAGAAAAATAGATGATCGTAGTGAGAGAAGCGTCGGCAAAATAGGACCGACCACGAAGAACGGAGATAGTGCTTTTGACACGTGTCTTATCATAGCAAAGGTTATCTACGTGGCATTAAGTGAGTGGTAGTGTATTCCCGCCAGAAGAAGCTACTCACGTCAGCTTCATGAATGTGCTCGGAAGTCCCACTGGAAAGATGCCACGTCTTAAACATCAGTTCAGATTATAATCGTTTTTTTCTCAATTCTCACTGCTAAATTGCTAATTAATATTATTTCTTATCATTTTCTGATTCATTGACCCCAAAATTGGTATTTTGTGTTTATCTTCTAAACATAAAAAAAAGAGCGATTAACCGGGCCTTGTGGCCTAGTGGTAAAGGGGTCACAGCTGTGACTTCCGCCACAGGGTTCGAGGCACGGCCACTGGCAGATTTACATAGGGGAATTGCCAGCCTCGTGGGATTAGTCCTTGGGCCTAGGAAACCTTTGGGAGATCCGCGGTTATTCAAAAAAAAAAAAAAAAAAAAAAAAAAAAAAAAAGAGCGATTGAGTTAAGGATGTTGCCAAATTTATTCCGCACGGTATGAATTGATTCGCCGAATCAAGCTCCAATGATAGTTTGTGTGTCAAGGTAAAAGAGAGCATCCAAAATTATAATATTTGTAGAATCAGTTTTGTTAGATTGCGCTAAAAAATGGGCCTGCATGGGCTACTAATTATCACATTTTCTTAAAGAGCCCAATCAGGTACATTTGAATCTTTTGATCATGTGATAAGGCTAGATGTGTTTTTCTTTTGGTTGATATATCTGTATAATGAAATTGACATATCCCAAAAAAAAATTAGGATTGTTAGAAACTTTTTTGTTAAAAGGCTTAGGATTGTTAGAAACTTGTCAACGTAAAAATAAAAGGTTCACACGCTTGATTTTAGAAACCACTCGAAAACTGACAAATTATTGACACTATGTGGTAATGACGTCGTAAACACGTTAAGGTTAGCATCCACGAGAAGACCACGACCTAGTCCACGACGTTGTCTTATACATCCATCTAATAGTCTTAGACATTATCTTTTTGGTTTACAAAAAAAGGTAGTAATTAACTAAACTGAAATTAAATCTTCCCTGGATCATTTTGGTATTCAAGTTTGTTTTTACAAAATATTTTTCATAACTTTTTCTTGTTCATCTCCTGTAATCTCATTTTCATGATCCGAAAGAGGTTGGTTTTAGGCCATATCCCTAAACAAGTTTTTAAGTCTTATGTTTTTTTTTCAACGGTTACCAATCACGGTTCTTGAAATTTATACGGGCCTAACTTTTTTGTTTTGAAATTTGGTGCAAAACGACTTGAAAACTTTATGTCCTGTTAGTATCTAAAATCAGTTGTAAAACAACCAAAACTACTATGTATATATAAAGGACATATGAGTATATGACAATATATATTCATGATCGGTGTTGAGTCAAAAACTAATGAATCTTTACACGGTATAAAATTTCATAAGTTCAAACACATAACCTCCAAAAAAAGTGGGATTCAAATTGAGGAATGAATTAGCCAAAAGATCATAATTTCTAGAGGGTGTCTTTATGATTCTACCATTCAAAACCATAGACATAACATTTTGCCTCAAACAACAAACTTTTCTCAATTAAGCCTCCTTGAAGTCATCTTTCCAATAGTTCACCACCCACACACTCTTTAGGCATATGTGTATTTTTTTTGTATTGTAAGGTCGATTTTATAAATTCCATATATACTAATCTGATTATTTGAATAGGAACTATTTCAGCCACGTTAAAATTCATTTTTTTAAAAAAATAGATTGGTTCAGTTTTTTTTTTTTTTTTTTTTTCCTGAATTGAATACTTTTAACCAAAATAACCGGGAAAATGGCCAATTCCCCCCCGAATTAAGTTGCTTTATCGTATTTATACACAGAACTTTGTTGTGTGCGTATAACTACATGAACTTACAATAATTTTGAATTTCCTACACGAACAAAATAAATCAGGCTTAATCCATCAAACTCCCTAACGCTGTTAGATTTCCGTTAAAACAACAAAGTTTGGGGGGGGGAATCAACCTGACCAAGCTGAGTTGACACTTCATAGCCGATGAAATTTCAAACATAATGGCTTATAAATTGATTCTAAAAGTGTTTTAATTGATCGATCATGGATAATATTCTTTACCCAAATGGTCATAGTGGACTCGTCTTTGTACAAAGTATTGGAATAACGAAAAAGAGAATGTTCAAATACAAAAAAGAGATGAGGACAAAAACACCAATTGGTGTCCTTATCCACTTTCCGATATTCAAAATTGGAGGATTGATGGTTTGGTCAAAATCATGTCATGTTTGAATGGAAGTTTGAATTTTTGGGGACAAATCCCATGTTTCTAACCAATCCCATATGGCCTTGTCTAAAAACATTATTGGCTCATTTTCACATTTTGCGTAACCAAATTAAATATTGACCTCTTCTCTACGTTTACTCACTGTAACCTTTTTGTTTTATTCATCTAAATCTCTTTCAAATTCTACCACTTTTGGCTTGTTATCCAGAAATGTTGCTTTAAATCATATCCATCTCATCATGTCATAACTTTGATTATAACTGTCGTATGAGTATGTTTTATATTCACTTAGATTCCGTTTGTTTGATATTCACACATCTTCCATTTACTTTGACAAAAAAAAAACAAATCTTCTGATTACATAATGGTTAGAGTAGATTTGTTAGTCTAACTTGTCCATTTTTACGTAATATATACATTTGGTAAACCATAAATGGTGTGGTCTTATAGTCAGTTGAGAATTTTCTTCGAATCATTTTTTTTACTATATATAATATCATTTTTATTTCAAAAATTCTTTCGTGATTAAAGACAAAATTATGGGGAAAAAGAAAACACCAAATCAAATATAAAAAAGAAAAAATAAATAAATGATAATTATCACATAATACAAAAATAACTATACGTGACTTACGGACAAATCAAAATTAATTATTTTTAAATTAAAATTATTATAGTGCATCAAAATTAACAAAAATTAAAGAAAAAGATACGGTGTCTTTCCTTGAAGTTAGCACCACCTAAATTTTAGCTTTACTTATTTGTTGAAATAAAACTGAAATTTAGGTGGAGTCAATTTTAAAAAAACAAATATCAAATAAGCTAAATAATAAATTGCGAGTTTATTTTTTTAATCATCGAATACAAAAATATTTGGTTGGATATGTTATGCCACTAGTTTAATATTATCATTTATATTTTAGATTTATTCAAATATGAAATGTATTATTATTTTCATTTAACTAATTCTATAAAATTGAAAATTTAAATTATTAGTTAAATAAATAAATAACTGAAATTGAGTTATCATTGACTAAAAGTAAACTAATAAGTTCAATGATATATATTTTCTATTTATTTTTTTAAAACTAAAATAATTGTTGCTGAGTAAATTTGTAATGGATTCCATGAGTATTAATTTTTTTCCATTTATTTTGTTATTATCTTCCATACAAAGAAATTTAGAGGAATTTCATCCCATAAAATAAATTTTTCTATTAAGACTATTTTTTTTTGTTATTTTCTATTAAAAAATAGGCATTATTCTAAGAATAATAATATTTTTAATTTTAATAATTTTATTAACCTATAAAGAACCTCCGAGATTTCCTAGAGGTAGCTTTCCTCACACACCGTCACGGCCGCTTGTCTCCAAGTTGTCTTGGGACTCGTCGACGATGTACACATATATTTACTTATAACATTTATATATTCTTCTCGTAGCCGAACCAGAAAATTTCCAGAGAGATAATCAATTGCATAAAAACTGAATCTTGTTGTTGAAAAAGAGCACCCATAAACTTGTTTCTCAATTCTCTCGTTTGGCCCTTTTTTTCACAATCTGACGGATATAAATAAGCATCTTCTCGTCCTCTAATAAGCCAATTCGATCCAAAAGGTCTCGTCTTTCCTCTGCGTTTTCCGGTGTTCATATTCGAGGTAGGAAAAAAGGGTTTTGCTTAGATCGTTTTTGTTTTGTATGTCTTTTCATTGCTTTATGATGAGATCTGTTGTTCATGTTTCTAAAGTTTTGTGTTTGTATTTTGATGAATCTGCATTTGTTTTTTTGTTGGTTTACTGTTTCTGGAGAAAACAAAGAAAAGGTCTAACCTTTTTTTTGTTTGATGTGAGATTTAGGGAAAAAGTTAATTTTGTTGTTTGTTTTATTTTGATCTCTTATTTGTGTGCCATTGCTCAGGCTGTGTTGTGTCTTCTTGGAGGCATAGAAAATCTCTATGGTGAGCTTTTTTTTTTGGCGCGATTCACTTCGTTGCTCTTCTGTGTTCATAGATTTCTCACATTTGTTTGATTTGTTGTTAATAGGGAGAAGCACCAGCTTTCTTTGTGGATCATCTGGAGAATGGATACACCAATGGCTTTGGTGTCAAATCCGAGCCTAAGAACAGAGATACGTCTGTCCAAATTGGGGATCGATCCGTAAGTCTCAACCTTTATGTTTTAGAATGTGAAACTGTTCTCAATACGTCGACTTTGATTTGATCTGAGGTTTATCTTTTGCAGTTTGTGATTGGTGGAAATCATGAAGGAAACCCATTGTTCCTTGGTGTTCAGATTCATGACAAAATCACTAACAAGTGGTGTGTGTTCATTGATTATATCTTGATCTATTAGTTTCTTCCATCAGTGTGGAATCTTAAGGATTTGAAGTCAATATGTTTGTTTTTTTCAGGTCTAGTCCTACTGTTCTTGGAACAGGCCCTAAACCCTGCAAGGGTTACTCTGCCATTGTTCTTCCAAAAGGTCGGATTTTGGTTATCAAAAAAGGCTCAGCTTCTGATGACTCCATTTGGTTCCTTGAGGTAAGTATATGGAGAAGAATGAAATTGATGTTGTTAGTGTAGAGTTTTTGGTGTTCTCATTCTCATATGTTTGATTATTCATATAGGTGGATACTCCTTTTATCCGGGAACAAAATAAATTGCTTGGAAGAGAGGTTGTTGCTTGGAGTAAAGGAGTAAGGGGAAATGCTGAGAAGCCTATTGTTATAAGCGGTCCTTCTGGAGTTGGAAAAGGAACACTTATATCGATGCTAATGAAGGAGTTTCCTTCAATGTTTGGGTTCTCTGTGAGCCATACAACTCGAGCTCCAAGGTGTATGGAGAAGAATGGTGTTCACTACCATTTCACTGATAAGACTGTTATGGAGAAAGAAATTAAAGACGGGAAGTTTCTCGAATTTGCGTCTGTTCATGGTAATCTATACGGAACCAGCATTGAATCCGTTGAGGTTGTAACTGATTCAGGAAAGGTAAGAAAAAGATTATCTTTGTATCATCTCTTTCATGCCGTTGATCCATCAAATGATCATATCTTTTGGTGTGTATAGAGATGCATTTTGGACATTGATGTTCAAGGAGCGAGGTCAGTGAAGGCGAGTTCACTGGATGCGATATTCATATTCGTCTGTCCTCCTTCAATGAAGGAACTTGAAGATCGGCTTCGTGCTCGGTAAAAATCAGATATTAGAGTTGTTTTTCTCCTCAGATCTTTCATTGCAAGTTCTCAAATTTAAGTGCTGAAAAAAACAGAGGAACCGAGACAGAGGAGCAGATCCAAAAGCGGCTTAGAAACGCTGAAGCAGAGATCAAAGCGGGGAAATCCTCTGGCATTTTTGAACACATTCTGTATAATGACAACCTTGAGGAATGCTACAAGAACCTTAAGGTGACTTAACCCACCTTTTGTTATGAATAAATTCCTCTTAAACCACTTATATTTGAAACAACAATGGCTCTCTGTTTCAGAACCTCTTGGGGATAAACGACCTTGCTCCTGTGAATGGTGTAGAAGGTAATAAAACCAAAGAGTTAGACACAATGTATACTAATTAAGTAGGAAAGGAAGAAAGGAAGTCTGATGGGTTTTGTGATTGTTTGATAAAAGCAGTAGAAGGGATCGATCTGCCCAAGGAGCACACAGTAACAAAGATGGATGACAAGATTTTGATTCAAGAAACTGGAGAAGGAACCAAAAACAAAATGTACACGGTTTTAACCAACTAATGTTCTTTTTTTTTATGTTGTCTAGATGATTTTTATGTAGAGTTTATTAATGAAACGTCTTTTGGTGGGCAGGATCGTGTTGGATCTATCTTCAATTAACGGGGGAGCACCGGGAAGAACAAGAGGGATCGTTCTGGACACGGTTAAGTCCAGTTGACAATGAGTCTTTTTATTTCGCTGCGGGAAGCTAAGGAGGAAACATTTAGATGATGATGATGAACATTGCTCGTTGTTTTATGACTGTGGTTGGAAGGTAGTGTTATGCGATCACTAGATAGACACTGATGATGATGATGATTATGGTTCTTATGATTATGATTTCAAGAAAGTCATGATCTCTTCTGAGAGATGATGGAATAAGGTTTTTTTGTTCATTTTACTGATAAAGATTTTGTTTAATCTAAATCTTGAAAGAATCCATTTTTTGGTGTTATTAGGACATAAAAAGTACCAAAAAGTTGAAATCTCTGCAATTGTTTCTTGAGATTCTCCTACTGGGATAGGACAAACAAAGAAATAACATCGAAATGGGGATGTATATTTAAAAATTGATCCCACACAACAGTGTTTAGTATATCGTACATGACTCGAGATCTTCTCGGACAAAAGGATGGCAGTTAGTGCCAGTTTACAGTTGAATATCAGCCAATAATGTAAAAGCAAAGCATCTCAATAAGAGAGGAATATGACAAAGCTATAAAAAAAGAGACCAAGTTGTGGGACTTTGGAGCTAAAATGGGTCCTCGAAAGATAGCAACTTGCATTGATTCGTGGGTCCAAAATCGGTCAGTGTAAATTGAAGGAAGGTTCGTTGTAGCCCACCACAGCTTCACTTTACTTAAAGAAAATAATTAAAGATTATGCACTTATGGTCCATCCCTCTCACGTCCTACTCAACCACACACACTTGTCACGTGACTACAGTGTCACGGTGACACTCTGTAATCTGTACTACCAAGTAGACTGACGCGTGTGGCTTTCACGCGTAGGTAAAGGTATCTCTCTTCTGGGGCCAACCCAAATCACGCTACAGAGGTCTCGATGTAAAGCTTTTGATGCAGCAGGTTCAGGTTGGGTCAGACGAACAATGGAAATGAAACTATGTTGGGCCTAAAGAAAGCCCAAAACGGAATTAGGGTCCAACTAAGCACTACTCGTTGACCTGAACACCAAAGAAGCCGTAGAACAAGAAAGTCTAGTGGAGGTCGAAACAGACAAGACAACGAAGACATTTTCTGTGACCTGTGAGATATGCAATCAGATTTCATACCATTTCAGTTTTAGGAAATGAATCTCAGTTATAAGGTTTAAAGAAGAGTTCTTTGCATCTAACAAGTATAGCCAAAGAGCTTTAGTAACAACAGTCGACTGCATAAGGATCATAACACAATCTATGAGGGGAGTCTTTAGCTACAAGTAAAATCAGGAACTGACGAAAGCATGAAGGAGCTGAAAATGTTCTGCGATCCTAACAATACTATACCAATTAACTTGGAGCAGTTGGACAAGAAAGATGTTTAGCCGGAGTCAAATAAGCCAAGCCTGTTCCTTTGGATCAGATCAGATAGGTTCTTTCAAAAGATATAGAAAGTAGCAGTGTAAGAAGAAACAAAGCTAAACAAATTAGAAAGAAGAAGAAGAAACAGAGCTAAACAAATAAACAAATGAGAAAGAAGAAGATTTACTCAGACAACTATCCTTAGAGCAGCTAAGTGTCTCCAAAAATGTAACTGTTTAAGACTAAGGATAATCATGAGACAACAACGGTGCAAATACTAAGTTGCTAACCACAAAAACTGCCGAAAATCTTGTCTTTGATAGACTAATAAGAAATGATCATAAGATTTGACATCCTAATGCCAAACACTGGCATTCTCAAATACAAAAACCTCAACTTTGATGATCACACACTATAACAAATTTATCCAGTAATCATAGTTCCAGCTCCTTCATCAGACATAATCTCATGAAGCAGAGAATGTTGTATCCTTCCATCAATAATACTAGCCGTCTTAACTCCTTGAGCAAGAGACCTTATACAACACTTCACCTTAGGAATCATCCCACCAGCAACTTTACCATCTTCAATCATCTTCTTCACTCCTTTTATATCAATCTCCTTCACCAAACTACTTGGATCCTCTTTATTCTCCAAGATTCCAGCTACATCAGTCAGCAGAATCAATTTCTCAGCTCCAAGCGCCGCCGCAAGCTCTCCAGCAACTGTATCTGCATTGATATTGTAAGCTTGACCAGAATCATCAGCAGCAACAGAGGCAATCACTGGAATGTAACCGTAATCAACAAGCGGACGCAATACTGATGGATCTACTCTTGCAACTTCACCAACGAAACCTAATTGAGCTGAATTGGGAACAGGTCGCGCAGTGAGAAGACGACCGTCGTGTCCTGATAACCCCACGGCGGTTGCCCCGGCGGCGTTAATAAGCGAAACCAGATTCTTATTAACTTTTCCGACTAAAACCATAGAGACGATCTCCATCGTGGTGGCGTCAGTGACACGAAGTCCGTCACGAAACTCAGCTGGAATGTTGAGTTGTTTCAGGTAACGGTTAATATCAGGACCACCGCCGTGAACGAGGATCGGACGTAGACCAACGCACGCGAGAAGAACGAGATCGCTTACGACGGAGGATTTAAGCTCCGGCGAAGTCATGGCTGCGCCGCCGTATTTGACAACTATGGTTTTACCACGGAATTTTTGGATAAATGGTAAAGATTCGGAGAGAATCTCGACTCTGTAATCCGGTGAAGGTGCATTTCCGGTTGCGATTGAAGGTGGTGTTGATACGGTGGCGTTTATCGATAAACCTAGACGGTGATGGTTCTTGCGAGGTGGATATTTGAGGGATGGAGATTTTGTTGGGATTTTGGATTTAAGAGGATTGGAAACAGTGAAGGAGAAGGATTTAGGTGAAGCATTTGATGAGACGGTGGCCATTTCTGACCCTTACCGGAGGAGGAGGAGGAAGCGGCGGCGAATGAGCTGAAGCTAGATGATCTCTCAGATCTTCTTCGATGATTTCAGTTAAACAACAAAATGAACCAATGATTAATGTCCACGTGGAGCGTAGACACAAAGATGCTGTCCTAGCCCTAAGTATAAACGACGACGTATTTGTGGCGTTGTTCTGTCTTTTTATCTTGTACATAAACGATGTCGTTTATCTTGCAGCGGGAAATAAACAGAGCTCGACTTTTTCATTCTTCGTCGTCTCCGTGAGATTGCTACAAATTAGACTCAAGAGTAATTTCAATCGGTACGAAATTATCTGGAATTGCCGATTATTCACAGTTAAATGGAGCGATTGGAAGAGGAATTGATACGAAGATCAGAACCGGAGTCTCTGGTCTCCGTCACTGTAGGTAGGTTCATGAGTACGCTTCTCTCAGCTCGCCCTAAAAAGCTACGGGAGTCTATTTCCCGTCTTTCTCCTGATTCTCAAAAGGGTTCCTCAGGTAATAAGTGTTTCAATTTGATTTTTAATCTGTGTTAATGTTTACACATGCGCTTTTGGGGTTTCTAATCTGTTTTTGTTTTCGATGGCTGCGTTAGGCTCTATCGATGAGGCACTCTGGTTTTTGGAAAAATGCGTTAGAGACGCTGCTGAGAAAGACGAAGCCATGGGTGAAATTCTTGTACCCATTATTGAACATGTAATATCTTAAACCCTGTGAAAACCTTGCTTGATTGTTGTAATGTCCGGTCTTTTATCTTGTATGTTCTTACGGATTGGTTTCTATACTTTTGTTGTTTAGACATTAAGGTTTAAGGATTCTAAGCATGGTAACCCAGCTATGATACTTCTAAATTGGCTATTTCAAGATGAAGTTCTCTTTCAAGCCGTTTCGAGAAATCTGTCGAATATCATTTTGAGGAACGAGGACAGGTTTTTAGCGCTTGGATGGTGTTTACTTATCCGACGTCTTGTAGAATGTGAGGATACTGGGGATCAAGGTTTTTGGCATGGTGAGCAATATAACCGTCCTTATTCAATACCGGCTATCTCTCTTGGGGAAATAAAACGGTCTCCTTATTTATGTACTTGTATACTTTTCTTTGTTGACAGGAATTAGGGAGAAACATTCTATGTTTCTGGAGATTGTTTCATCTTGTGTGCCTCACTTGTTGATGATCGTACGCAATGGAAGGTATACAACTTCTTTGTCAGTGGGTATAAATATCATCTCCTGCTCTCTATTTTTGGTTCTATATGGAGCAAGTTGGTACACTTATATAGTTATATACATAGTCATTTCCACTTTGTTCTGAGCTGTTGTTATTTTGTTTAGCATTTTACAGGATGGATATGAAGTGCCATCTCGTCTTTCTCTTTCTGCTGCTGATTGCTTGCTGTCAATTACTGGAGCCTTAGCAAAGAGGGATAATACTCTGGTCAATAGACCAAAGCCATCAACCATTACGGGGTCTCATCAACCTGTTGCTTTGATACCTAATATTAGCGAGAAGAAAAAGAAGCAGAGTTTTCTACCTGAAGACTCGAACATTGAGGCAAATTGTTTACTGTGGAACCACCTGGAGGATCTGACACGCCTTGTACAATGTCTCTTTGCTGTATGTTCACTGATCCTTCTAAATATGCTCGAGCTGTGTTCAAAATTTTGAAGTGATGAAGTTTATCCTTGATTTGATTTGAGTTGAGTAATATTGACAAAACATTCCTTCCAGTGGAACAGAAAAACTCGACTACTGCATGCAAAGGGCTTAAGTCAAGTGATGAAGTGGTTAATTGAGTTAAAAGAGCATCATGGTGGCTCCCAAAAGGAGGCAGGTCTTTGACAAATGCCGCCTGTCCTTGTTCTTTTCTGTTTCTGTTTATGATTCTTGCTTATCAAATTTTTTGTTTTATACCTGGAATTCAGGCTCAGAAGCATCTGTGAGTGGAGCTCTACTGCTCTCTTCTTGTTGGAGGCATTACAGTGTCTTGCTCCACATGGAAGATCAAAAGTTTTCAAAGATTAGTAAGGATTTGTTGGAGCAATATTTGTCTGGTATTAAGGTTAGACATAATCGACAATCTTTTTGGTTTCAAAAATGGCATTGCCATCTACAGTTTCGACTTTTATTCTTTGTTAAGAAGATAGAAAATGTGCAGTAACATTTAGTAGAGTTTGCTTGAAATTTAATGGAATGTGTTTGCATGGCATATGAGTTAGATTATTTGGTCTGGAGTCTTTTATTTCACGCGGAAAACATATATAAGCTACACAGAGAGAAGTTGTAGATGTTATATTGGTTAACGGCTGTGTACTAGCTTTCTGTTTAACTTCTGGTTAGTGTTGTCCAATTTGATTGGGTTTGTAAGAAGCTCATAGCATTAATATGACGCACTACTGGTTTTAATGCTTCTCTAGCTTTCTGCTCTTTCTCTTATTAGTGTTTTCCTAATTGATTGGGTCATCGGGAAGCTAATAATAATGATAATAATGATGCAGTATTATTCAGAAAGTTATCCCCAGGGATGTTCTGACTCCAAAACTGGTGGTATAGAGACACAAAAGTTTTTCCTAAACTGTTTATGCCTTTTGTTGGGCCGCTTTGAGGGAAAGAAATTTGAGTGCATACTATCAGAGTATGGAATGAAGCTCGTGCCTTGTCTTCTACATCAGGTATCTTTCACCATTTTTTATTAAATAGGGAGTGATGACACACTTTATATGAATTTCTCTTGAAGTTATATAGGTTGTTCTAATAGTTATGCTAGAATTCATTTCTTATATAGACTTTTCTGACTTCCTACTCATTATGAAACCCATAAGTTTGGTTCTGCTCAATTGATGCCATGATTAGAACATCTCCTCATACAGTTAATCTTGAAGGATATATTACCCATGCGATCATCTTAGTACTTACATTCTTCCTTTGCATTCGAAGCTTCGCAGTAACAATGAAGAGATATCAGAAGACGTTGTTGCTATATTTAAGGCAGTCATCTTTAAACTACAATCTCAGTCCGGAGACAGCTTTTCTGATACAATGTGCATGGATGTTGTGATACCATCGCTGCTTCACCTTCTTGATGAAAGGGATGGCGCGGCCAAAGCTGTTAGTGTCCTCCTCGCTGACTATTGTTCCAAGTATGTCTATTCTTGCTTTACTTTTAGTGCTAAATCATGAAAGTAGCTTTCTAGTTACCAGTCACGGTTCCCAGTTTGTCTTCTGACTTAAAAGAAACATTCACCAGGAATGCAGATAATAACTGTCTCAGTGAAGTTCTACAACGCCTTGTTTCTGGAACTTCTGCGCAAAGGCTGAATTCTATGGATGTGATATCAGAAGTAATCCTTATGTCAAAAGATTCATTTCCTTCTCATATACCCTGGTATACCATCATTTATGTTTTTTCGTCTCAATTTTCTTTCTCTCGTTTTTCTGCTTCTTCTTTAGTTCCTTGAGTTGATTTGCATTCTCTTCTCCTCAGAAGTTAGAACTCATTTCTGCACTTATTTCAGGAAAGAGATTGCGGACTGCTTGTTAAAGTGCCTTGGAGACGAGGAAACTTGTATCTGTAAACAAACTTCAGAGTTGCTGAAGTCAATTGGTTGGTCTTCTTTTTGCCTTTATACGCGATTCCTTTGGAAGCTTTTGTTTGTGGCCGTTATCAATTCCTGGTATTGGCAGTGTTATGTCACCTATGCCCTCGAGATCTGGCCTCTCTTCATTTTATAAGATTAATTTCATAAAGTTTGCTGAAGTATTTTGTTGAAAGGAAGAGTTATGTTAGTTATTTATTATACAGATGAGGAAAACTTGTAAAGATCCCAATATATGATAACATTTGTTTTAGCTTTTCTATAGAATTAAGCCAATCAACTGAATGATTTTTGTTTTTGTTTTTTCTTCCAGAGCCATCTTTTGTGCTACCAGATTTAGTAACCCTCATTTATGCACCCAATGGAAAAGTACAATCATCAGCTACCGAAACCTTGCTTGGGGTCCTGAAACATCATAAGGAGGATTCTGATGTTATATGTATGTTGCTGACCTGTCTTAGGTATTGTGCTCTGTCTGTTTTTCTCCTCTCCCCCATGTATACGTAGTTGTTTGTTTACTCCCATTTACCCTAAGTGAGAACAAGCCGGATTCATAGGTCAAGTTTGTAAAAGTAAACTTATGAATGCTTCATACGTGAAAATATTGACTTGACTACCTGGTTTGGTTTTTAAATCCGTTTTTGCATTGTATCACGCTAATACTGAAAAGACCTTTCTGCTTCTGATCTCCACTTTTCTCTTGTAGTAATATTCAAGCTTTGGATACTTCAGATAGTAATGGACATTCCACTGAAGGTATTTGACTTCTTATTTCATTGCCATAGGCTACATGCTATACATAATTTGTGGTAAAACTTCAATTTGTTGTTTTCCATCTCGTGTTAAACATTTTTCTTATATATGCACAATCCAAATGTATTGTATATAAATGGTTCAACACTTCAAATGTAAGCTGGATAAGAAATAAAATTACTGGAATGTGAAACTTGAACGATGTAAAATATGTACTAATCTAGCTGAAATACAAACTGGACACTATCAAGTTTTTCTTTGGCAAGAGCATGCTCATCATCTTCTTTTACTGTTACAGGTTCAACTTTTGACAGTGATCGAGTGCTAAAGCTGATACCAGAGTGGGCTAGAAGTGTAAGTACGGGAATACGTCATACTTACTAAATTATATGCTATCTTTGAAATAATTTTTTTTTAGTTGCTTAAGTGCCTGTCTGTATATGTACCATTTACGAACTGTTGGTGCACTACTGAATAGAAAATGATAACTGAACTTTTAACTCTGAACTTCAATACAAACTTTTTCAGGCATTGGTTGTTCCTTTTGTTCCCTTCCAAGTACTATTACCTTTTATCTGATCATTTCCTTGTGTATGTGCTGTGAAACTATTCGCATGGGAATGACCAAAGCTTGTGCCAGCTATGATCAGGCAATTATAAGATATTTCTGCTTGTTGACTGAAATCAAATTCTTACAGGTACAAAACTGGGACTCACTGATCGGACCTTTGCTTGAGAAGATGTTCTTGGAGCCATCCAATGCCATCTTGGTTAGGTTTCTTAGTTGCATCAGTGAATATTTGGCAGATAAGTCGGACTTGGTCCTTCCGCATGTACTTTCACATATGAAGAAGCAAAACAAGTAAGTAAAATACGCACCATAATTGTGATTTCTGTGGTAAGAAAAACTTTTAACAACTTCCCAAGATATAAAATATTGATTATCGATAATGTCAATTCTTAGGGTGGATGAGAGCTTCATATCCAGATCTGATACTAAAAGTTCAGTTGACGAAACTAAATCGGAGAAATCTCTATTTGACCACCTTTGCCCACTGCTTATATTAAGACTGCTTCCCCAAAGAGTGTTTGATGATATTGATTCTTCTACAATTTATGGTAAATTCCTCAGCGGGGACTCTGTGAATGGTAAGCATGCTTATGCCTTTGATTTCCTTTTCCTGATAAGAGAAGAGTGGGTATTTATCATAAGGTCGTTTGACCCTTATTCTCAATTAGATTCAACACTTTAGCTATATTTTCCTAAGCGGCATGATCCAGAGTAGATACTGACGATCTTAGACTTACCACATCTATTTCTTGTCATGTGGTACTTATCAGACTACCAAGACATCAAGTTTGAGGATTGTCAATGCATTGCCGCTTTCATTTTGGAAAGGTTATTTTACTCTCAGTGATCATCAAATGTCATCTACTCTAATACTTATTTTATATCTACCGAACTAAATCTAGTAATACAGGGCATTTTCTAAGTTCGAATTTGAAGAAGTTAGGAAACTCTCTGCTGAGCTATGTGGACGTCTCCATCCCCAGGTGCTAACTGACTTCCTTCCTTGCACTTGTATTGTTGGTCAATCTTGTGTAAATGTTTATATATGTTTTAAGCCTTTGTTTGAAAGTAAATTTTTATTTACCAAGAAACAATGGTAGATGCTCATTAATAGGTTTCCTCTTAAGTTCACTGCTATCTTTATGAGAAAGCAAAGCACATACGAAATTTTCACCCGTCATAACTAGGTTCTGTTAGTAAGGAGAAGGGCTTGGTGCATTTTCTTATATCTGAAAATTTCTAAATGCTCGACTTCAGTTTTACATATACAACAGTCTAGCCTACGCATCATCATCCAAATTTGTAATATGCGAGCACTTTTATTTGACAGGTGCTATTTCCAACTATTTTATTGCAACTTGAAAGGGCCACAGAGCTACAAGACAGCCTCAAGATTAAAGCTTGCCTATTTTCTATATGCACATCCCTTGTGGTAATATTTTCATCTTTCGTGTTCTATATGAACATATTCAGTGATCTTTCGATGCACTATCAATTGGATTATTTTTGTACGTTACAAATTTTCCGGCACTTGCAGGTTCGAGGCTGGGAGTCTTTCTCACACAGTGTGACACCTAAGATCAGGAAAGTCCTGGAAAATATTTTGTTATGGCCTTCTGTTGAAGATGAAAGTAAGACACAGGCTAGTGGCTGTTGATTTATATCTCAAGCTCTGTTACCTTTCACTTCCTCACTTCATGGCTGTTATTTTTCCTTACAGTTTCCAAAGTACAACATGGGTGCATTGATTGTCTGGCACTGATGATATGTGCTGAACTGCAACATCTTAAATCTTTGAAAACATCTGGAGGAGAACAAATACGTACAACAGGGAAGGACACATCTGGTTAGTATCGTTCTATTTCATGTCTGTAGGGCTAACAATAGTTTTTCAAGACTTGTGTATAAATTGTATCCTGATCTGTAGGTGTTGATGCGTCAGGTAATTCTGTCCTAGATTACACAATCCATTGTTTAGTAGAAGACAGAAGTAACTGCTCGTCTATCTCAAAGCTGAGTACTGGTGAAAATCCTCTTCCTGTTCCATTTCGTCTGTGCATGGCAAATGTGATCATTAGTGCTTGTCAAAAAATCCCCGAGTCTTCCAAGAAGACTTTTGCTCGAAAAGCTCTTCCGCCGCTTATTCATTCCCTCAAGGTACTTTTGACTGCTTTCACTCATTTTGGATTTGGCTAAATTTGTTTGCATCTTGTTTAGTTTTCAACAGAATTCCTGAATTTTTCGCAGGTCATATCTGTACCTGAGGTCCGTGCAGCCTGTATCCAAGTCTTATTCTCGGCCATGTACTATCTTAAGTCCACACTTCTTCCTGTTTCATCTGATCTACTGAAACTTTCCCTGAGATTTCTTGAACAAGGATCCGAAAAGGTATCAGAAATCTATTAAACTTATTTCTAGCATGTATGTATACAATGGTATGGAAGTAGAATAAGAACTTCAATTTTAGACATGAAACATCCTTTCTCAAGTGACTACTGTCGACAATTGTGAATCCCACAATCCATTTCCGGAACTATCTGCATCTATAAAAATCTGAACTCGAATATTTATGCCTGCCTTGGTTTTTAAGCTTATGCGGAAGTTAAATCATGCTCTTGTTGTGTAGGAAAAGCTGGCTGGCGCTAAGCTGATGGCATCACTGATGGCGAGTGAAGACATGATACTGGAAAACATTTCAGAGGGATTGCTCGAAGCAAGATCAGTTCTATCCAAAGCATCTTTGTCAGATCCTTCTCAAGACGTACGTGAAGTCTGTGCTAAGCTCTTGGCATGCATAACGCCGTTGTAACCTGTGTTCTTTCTTTTTTTTGCCACTTTTGGTTTGTTCGTGCCAATGAAGTCGGTATGTAGATATGTGGTAGCAAACGGTGGCCTAACTTTCATAGGGATTGTAAATATTACTCCCTCCGTATTTTAATAAGTGTCGTTTTAGGATTTTCTTTTTTAAAAAATTAGATATCGTTTTCAAATTTCTATGCAAAATTTATTACTTTTTAATGTTTTATGATCATAAAACATTAAAAAGTAATAAATTTTGCATAGAAATTTGAAAACGACATCCAATTCAAAAAAATAAAAATCCTAAAACGACAATTATTAAAATACGGAGGGAGTATGTAATATGCAAAGACCAAATACGTTTCAGTAACCAGTTATGGTCGGAACCTGCAGCTACCATTTTGTGTTTTCTGAAACTGAGTCTTGACTTTTTTAATTTGGCTTGGACTCGAAGATCTGATTAGAAAATCAAAACAACACCAGTCCTCATTCTAGGTTAGCACTCGTACCTGTTCTGCTGCGCTTGTTCTTCACAGATGGAGCCGAGTTGCAGAGACCGCTTCCTGATGATGGTAACAAGGCAAAAATTGTGTGCAATGGTAGAGGCAGCATCTAACTATAGAACAGGGGATGATTTTATTGATATAGAACTGAAGAGAGATGGAATTATAAATGAAAACTATATAACCAAAGATAGTCAAAAGGTACATACGATTTTACCAAAGCTAGATTGGACTCGCACAGACTTTTACCGACGTCTAATACTATTAACTAAAGAACATAAACGCATACATGACATGCCCTATTGCTTTTTACCTATTCCTTGTCTCATTGTTTTACTCTCTTATACTCTTCTTCTCTTCTTCTGTCTTCACCTTCACTGATGTCTCTTTCATTTCTTCTCCCTACACACCATCCTCATACCTCTTCCCTGATGTTGTCAGACTGCTAACTTTTGACAGCAGGAGCAGCGACTCTTGACATGAGAAATGCTTGACTTGAGTTGCTTTGCATCGTTTACACTAAGATCCTCTACATAGTCAACATAGGCAAAAACTTCACCACGATTCTCAACCTCTTCAAGCTTAGCTCCAAAACCTTGGATTTCAACACTTTGGAGAGTGTTCTTTTCGGGATTGAAGTAGAACACATAGTAGGGTTTACATGTATATTTCATACACAAAACAATATCACCTGTACCAGTCACTCCGGCAACTGAAAATTTGGAGGAACCAAGGACTTCATTCTCTGGCAGAGTATAGACATATTTCACCCATTCCAATTTCTCGACATCCTCTAGAACCGACATAGACAACTCAACGGTACGTCTTCCACCAGCCTTAACACACTTGCAATTAGTCACACCTAATTTACCCATACAGTTGACCAAACTCAATCTAGTAGGATCCGCTAGACGATCATTAAAGCGGGCTGCGTCAATAAACTTGAACTCCTCAGACTTAACATCAACGCGAACTATCAAAAACGTCAATCCAAAATGTGTTTCAGCTAAGAGAGTTTTAGCTAAGTAATACAAAACCCCATTGATGCATATCCCTTGAGTCGAAGAACAACGCTCATACAGAGGACAAGGGATATCGTTACTCCTCCACTTGAGTTCTCCAGATCCTAATGTTAGAATGAACTGATGATCCAATGCCTTGAATTGCTTATCAATGGGATCAAAAACTAAAAAGCCTCGAGACCTTCTGCCCTTCATGATTTCAGGTAAGCCCACATACATTCCGGTGATAGGGTTACAAATCAAAATCGTGTCAGTATCAACGATCCGCACAGCAGGAAAATAGATCAAACCTGAGGCATAGCTACAAATGTATTGGCTAACGTCTCCTGAGAACTTGCTATGAAAATCCAAATGAGCAGACTTCTCATACCGATTCTGTGACTGAGGCGTCGAGAAAAATTGCCACTCATTACATCTGTATCGTTCGACCGCAAATAAGAGACGTGGACGAGTCGACGATCTGGTCAGGAAGAGCTTGGTGAATTCAGGACTGCGAAGCATAGACGCCCAGTGCTTTGACAGTGTACGAAACCTAGCCACTGACTTCGACGGCAATCTCGTGAATATCTCGCGAATGAGGTCAGCTGGGAGTGATTCCCTGGTTTTTCCTCTATCCATCGGACTCGCCGGAGTTCGTGATTGTTCCGCCGGAGAAGAATGATAGGATTTTAGGAATACGACGACGACAAGGTTGATTGAAATTTGTGCCTCTTTTGTTTCTTCTTTCTAAATTCGTCCGAGTAAAAAGAAGGGAATATATATAAAGTAACCATGAATTCAAAAAGAATATACAAACTAACCATGAGCTACAGTAACATGTCGGGAACATGTCGGAATGCTTGTGAAATTACGTAAGTGTCATTTGTAACACGTATTTTTCTCGAATTACATGTTATAACGTAATATAGATCTTTTTATCATGTTATTTTCTCGTATTACACATTATTTATAAAAAGCACATGGTATTTCTTGAAAAAACATTCTATTTAGTTTAATATCTCTCTTTATCATGTTATTTTATAGTAATACATGTTTTTTCTTTAGATTACATGTGATTTCTTTAAAAAAAGATTCTTATTTTGTAATATTACACGGTTTTTATTAAGATCACATGTAATTTTTTTTAAAAAAGATTTTTTTCAGGTTAGATTTTTCCATAACGATGTTTTTTCTTAAAAAATCACTATATTTTTCCAAATATCATGTATTTCAGTTTAATATAACATGTGAACTTTAAATGTTACATGCTATTTTGCAAAATCTCACGAAATTGTCTTGCATACGGTTGAACTTGCAACAAACGAAGGATGATTTCGTTATTTCACTTCTTCTGACAAGGTGGGACCATGGCTATTTTGCAACAAAAAAATTTCTCTCTGCTATTTACTTAATTTGTGTGTCTAATTTGGCTATTCAGTAATAATTCCCTAAAAAGAAAGAAATACAGTGAATTTGATGGGCCTTTGGGCTTTAACGTAATTGTGAATGAGCTAAGCCCATTTATTTATTGTCGTATTTTTTGGTTTGTTCTCTCACGTGCCAATGAAGTCAGTATGTGAAATGCGAAGACGAAATTAAGTTTGGGTATGGAATCTCCAGCTACTGATTATCAAATAGACAGTAGAAATTATACTTTGATTTCAGGTAGAGGATAGCATTAAACCATGTATAACCAAAAAAAGTCAACAATGCTACAATACGATTCTCTGCAAAAGATTTGCAATACAGTAATACACTACCAAAGCTAGATTTGATTCACACTCACACAGACCTTCCAACGTCTACAACTAAAGAACATAAACACATTACACATATATGACATGCCCTACTGCTTTTTACCTTATCACTTCTCTCTTTTCATCCCTCTTATACTCTATCACTCTGATGATCGTCTTCTTCTGTCTTCATCTCTTCCCTACTGCCTTTGGTTTAGGCCTTTTAGTAATGATAGTTAGGCTGCGATACCTTATTACAGCAGGAGCAAAGATGCTTGACTTGAGAGATGCTTGACTTGAGTTGTTTTGCATCGTCAACTCTAAGATCCTCTACATGGTTAACAAAGGCATAAACTCTACCACGATTCTCAACCGCTTCAAGGTTAGCTCCAAAACCTTTGATTTCAACGCTTTGGAGAGTGTTCCTCTCGGGATTGAAGTAGAACACATAAAACAGTTTACATGTATATTTCATACACAAAACAATGTCACCTCTACTAGTCACTCCAGCAACTGAAAAATCACAGGAATCAAGGACTTCATTCTCTGGCATAGTGTAGGAATATTTAAACCATCCCTGCTTCTCGACATCCTCTAGAACCCACATACACAACTCAACGGTACGCCTTTCACCAGCTTGACCATACTTCCAATTAATCCCTCCTAATTTACCCTCATAGTTGACCAAAATCAACTCACTAGTATCATCAAGTTGATCATTGAAGCATTCTGCGTCAATAAACTTGAACTCCTCAGACCTAACATCAAAGCAAATGATCACACAAGACGATACACCAACTGTCTGAGCTAAGTAATACAAAACGCCATTGATGCATATCCCTTCACTCAAAGAACGATAGTATGCAGGACAACTGATGATATTACTCCTCCAGCTCACTTCTCCAGTTCCTAATGTAAGAATCTCATGATGCTCCCTTTGATCACAAAACGGATAAGCCTCAGACAATACCTTGAATTGCTTATCAATGGGATCAAATCCTAAAAAGCCTCGAGAATTTCTGTACCTCATCAGATCAGGTAAGCTCTCATACATTCCGGTGATAGGGTTACAAATCACAGGCGACGCATCTTTTGAGAGCCACAAATCAGGAAAATAGAGCAAACCTGAGGAATAGCTACAAATGTATCGGCTAACGTCTCCTGAGAACTTGGTATGATAATCCAAATGAGACGACTTCTCATATCGATTCTGTGGCTGAGTCGACGAGAAGAAGAGCCACTCACCATTTCGTTCGGCCGCCAACAAGAGACGTGGACGATTCGAGGATCTGCTCAGGAAGAGCTCGGTGAAACCTGGACTGCGAAGCGTAGACGCCCAGTGCTTCGACAGTGTACGAAATCCAGCGACTGACTTCGCCGGCAATCTCGAGAATATCTCGAGAATGAGATCAGTTGGGATTGGTTCCATGAGTTTTCCTCTTTTCATCGGATTCGAAGAAGCGTTTAATGTCGCCGGAGTGCGTAATTGTTTCGTCGGAGAAGGAGAGGTTTAGGGATACGACGACGACAAGGTTGGAATTTGATGGGCCTTTGGGCTTTAGCATAGTTGTGAATGAGCTAAGCCCACTTATTCATTGCGATAATTGGGACTTTTGGTTTGTTGTTCTCTCACGTGCCAATGATTCGGTATGTTAGATATGTGGTAGCAAATGATGGACTAGTTTTCATAAGGATTCTAATTATCATGTAAAATGCAAAGACCAAATATATATTGCTAAGTGATGCTAACTAGCAAAAAAAAAACAGTTAGATTGCTTTCTGATTTAGGATGAAACTCCTGGATAACAACAACCAATTGTTGAATTGCTAAAGCAAAAGCTTAGTATTTGGTAGCGAATGTGTATGAAGATAAATTTATTAGGCTTATTTAGCACTACTTTTTTTTGGATTAAAAATAATATAAACAAAAAAGAAATATACTCAATGTGTTTTTTTTCAGTGAAACAGAATAAAATGGGTTCAACTATTACTTTTCTTTTTTTTGGGTTTGGTTGAAGTATGTATATTAAAATAAGAAATGGGGTTAGGGAACAAAGTGGTGAGTTAAATGTGATGATAAGAGAAGAAGGAAGCATGGGATAATGGTGAAGGGAGCGGCGCTTAAATCTGAAAATCTCGAGAATGAAGAAAACACGTCACTTCACTCTCACGATCGAACATGTGATTCTTGTGTGCTGCGACGACTCGTGACTCTTGCCTCTCTTTTTCTCATGCATGGCTCTCCGATTCTCCGACGAAAGAAGGAAACAACAAAAAGGTAAAGATAAATCGTAAAAGCTTTAAAGCTTTAAAGTGTCTCAAGAAAAATTATTGTAGGAACCCAAAAAAACACCCCTAACATATACAATATTAGAACTAGTCATAACAAACAGAAGAAGAAAACACATTTGAGTTCCAAATGATTAAAGAATTTTTTGAACATAATAATCCAAATAAAAAAAAAACGTGTGTGTGTGTGCAATTTTACTAACTTCTTAAGCTATCATCAAAATTGTGTAATAAGGTCGGCATTACGACTGTTTGGAATGCAGGGGACATCTACAACTAGGGATTATATTATTCTAGTTTTAGCCTATAGGTAGAATTATATAAATATGAAGTTGAGATCAAATGGTTAAAAGACTTTTTTTTTTCTTTTGAAAATAACAGAATATGAGAAAGCAACGGTCACATGCGCGGGTGAAAAAAGCAATTCTCTAGGAATTGAAGCGAACCGTGACATTATTTAAGCACTCACATAACTCTTTCTAAGCTCCATTATCCTCTTCTTCCTTCTTCACTCTCAATCTTCTTCTTCACTGCAACACAAATGGAGAAATCATCCTCAATCAAACAATGGAAGAAGGGTCCTGCTCGGGGTAAAGGCGGTCCACAGAACGCTCTTTGTCAGTACCGTGGAGTCAGGCAAAGGACGTGGGGCAAATGGGTAGCTGAGATCAGGGAGCCCAAGAAGAGGGCAAGACTTTGGCTTGGATCTTTCGCTACAGCTGAAGAAGCAGCCATGGCTTATGATGAAGCTGCCCTGAAACTCTATGGGCACGATGCATACCTCAACTTACCTCATCTTCAGCGGAATACGAGACCTTCTCTGACTAACTCTCAGAGGTTCAAATGGGTACCTTCAAGGAAGTTTATATCTATGTTTCCTTCTTGTGGTATGCTAAACGTGAATGCTCAGCCTAGTGTTCACATTATCCAGCAAAGACTAGAGGAACTTAAGAAAACTGGACTTTTATCTCAATCCTATTCTTCTAGTTCTTCCTCCACCGAATCAAAAACTAATACTAGCTTTCTTGATGAAAAGACCAGCAAGGGAGAAACAGATAATTTGTTCGAAGGTGGTGATCAGAAGAAACCAGAGATCGACCTAACCGAGTTTCTTCAGCAGCTAGGAATCTTGAAGGATGAAAATCAAGCAGAACCAAGTGAGGTAGCAGAGTGTCATTCCCCTCCACCGTGGAACGAGCAAGAAGAAACTGGAAGTCCTTTCAGAGCTCAGAATTTCAGCTGGGATACGCTGATCGAGATGCCAAGAACTGAACCTACAACTATGCAATTCGACTCCAGCAATTTCGGAAGCTATGATTTTGAGGATGATGTATCTTTCCCTTCCATCTGGGACTACTGCGGAAGCTTAGATTGAGTACAAGCAATTCATGGTAGATCAGATTCAGAAGAACGCAAATGGTTTTGGGTTTAGTGTAGTGTTCTGGAATAGAGACATAGGTAGTAAGAGACTAAGAGTGCAGTCTATTATTATGCAGCAATAAAGTGAGTCATTGTACTTCTGAATATGAACTGAGTTGTTCGCTTTTTTTGGGATATTAATGAAGCATGGTCACTTTTTCGCAATCCTTTAGCTTGATAGTTTAAATAGTAGTGAAAGTCACAATCCTAAAAAGAATGATATGTTTTGTGCAAGTAACCATGCAAAAGCTTACCTATCATAGCCCTTTTCATGAAGATCACATCTAATATCCCAATAATAGTATAATACTAGAAAAACAATAAATAAAGAGTATGATGGTATGAACAGATATACCTGTAAACCGAGATTTGCCTTCGAATTGACCAGCGCAAACATTCTGTCCAGAAAAGAAAGCGACTAAACTGAACAACCTAGAGACACATCACATGATGCATTAACTCCCACCAGAACGTTTCACCTGCCAGCACTGATCAAAATCTGAAAAAATTTGCAAAAGAAAATCCAAGGGAGGGAGATGTAGGAATTATCCTCGTCAATCTAATCGTGGGACTGTCCATTTTGTTTCTGTTGATATCTTTATGACCACGTATAGACAACATCTACAGATCTTCAACAAGCCTAAACAGCAGCTACACTGAACCTTCACGACTTTCTCAGGTTTAAGCCATACAAGGATCTCTTATCAATGGAAATAATTCAAGGAATAGAGTAAAGATCAAACACGAAAGCGTAAACTTTATGAACATAACAACCTCACTGCCTAAGCACAGAATTCCTCTTCATTCCAATATAAGAAACAATGCAACAGATACACTAGTCATTCCAAAGAGAGTAACAATTCTCAGTAACTTGACACTTGATCAATTTTTGAGCTTGTGGAGGAGAGCAAAAAAAAAACTAACACTAAAAATCATTTGTATATAAGGGCATCACGACCAGGCCCAATACCAATGTAATGAATGGGCACACCCACAAGTTCTTCAATCCTCTCAACATACTGCTGTGCAGCCTTCGGAAGATCAGAGTAATTTCTGACCGAGGAAATGTCAGACTTCCATCCCGGTAAGACTTCATACTCCACCTACAAACATTTTCACAAATAAAGAGAGTTATTCATCAACCCCACAGTAAGTAATAGGCACCATTTCCTAGACAATAAGATGAACTCTGTTTTCAAGACTTTATCAGATACTATAGGAACAGCAAAAGCAAATGATTTGCCTGTCAGATTAACCTTTATAACCAAATTAATAACTAGAGAAGTTGCCCAATCGATAAAAGGAGACAGTCGGACATATGTCAAAGAACGACACTTACTTGCAGTTCTTCGAGAAGACGAAGATCACCAGGGAATGATTCAACAGGAGTGCCATCACTCCTCTTATAAGCCACACCCAGCTGGATTTCATTCAGATCCGAAAGTACATCAAGCTTAGTGAGATTAAGTGATGCAAATCCATTGATTTGGCAAGAAAATTTCAGCGCAACAATGTCAAGCCAGCCACACCGACGAGGACGCCCAGTTGTAGTGCCAAACTCCTGTCCAGCCAACCTAAGAAGGTCACCACCTGGGCCCAAATTTTCTGTTGGGAATGGGCCTGAACCAACTCTTGTAGTGTATGCTTTTACCTGACAAAACAGGATCATCACAATGCTTACATATATCTTTCATTGTTCGCAGATTAAATGTTATTGAACATCAATGCTACTAACTCATAACAACATAGATTAAAACAATTTGAAGGCCAATGCAGAAAGTCAAGTCTATGAGTGAATATGATGCTTACCACTCCAATTAGATCACCAACAACTCTTGGTGCAATACCAAGACCTGTGCAGATCCCACCGGCAGAGGGGCTGGAGGAAGTAACAAAAGGATAAGTCCCAAAGTCAATGTCCAACATTGTAGCTTGACCACCTTCGACCAAAATCTTTTTCTTCTGAGAAATCGAGTCATTCATGAAATGGACAGTGTCAGTAATGTAGGGCTCCAATCTGTCAGCATATCTCTTGTATGCTTCGACTTCTTCCCGAAGCATGTCTGGAGTATATTTGAACCCTTGAAATCTTGCCGCTGCATCTGATAGTAAGAGGTCAAGCTTCTGAGGTAAAGTATCCATGTGCCTGAGATCACCTACTCTAATACCATTCCTTATCACTTTACTAGAGTAGGCAGGACCAATTCCCCTCTTCGTGGTGCCAATGAACGACTTCGCAAGCTCAGATTCCCTGAGCCCATCAACCTCTTGATGAAAATCGAATAACAAATGAGCGCGATCAGAGACCAAGATCCTTCCTTTACATGAGACGCCATTGGACTCCAAACCATCAATCTCTTTGAAGAGACCAGGCAAATGCACCACAACTCCGTTTCCAATCACACAAGTAGTATCCTCATTCAGAATACCTGAAGGCACAAGGTGAAGTGCGAATTTCTTTCCCTCTGAATTGTATATAGTGTGTCCAGCATTTGCTCCACCCTATGGTAACCAAACCACAATTCAAACGACAAAAACTTAAACTTTGCCGGAACAATCAAATCAGGAACAGAAACTTACTAATCGAATCAACAAATCCAATTCAAATGTTCGCAAATCTCCAATTGACCACAGATAATGATTCAAATCCTTAATGTTCACGAAAAGCTGAAAAGAATCTGACAAAAAGGTAAAAATGTAAACTTTACCTGACAACGAGCAACGATGTCAAAGTGTTGGGCTAAGATGTCAACGAGTTTGCCTTTACCCTCATCTCCCCATTGGCAACCGAGTACACCCGATACTTGACTCAGTGATCCAATCCGTCCGAGAGACTCAGTGGCGGCTGAATCAGTGGCAACGCTCAGTGAAGCCGAGACAGCTGGACGTTTAGCAGAGCAAGAGACGAAGCTTCGAGGGTGATGAAGTGGAGGATAACGGCGGTGATATGGACCACCAACAGCGAATCTTGGATTGGAGTCGAGAGAGAGGGAAGAGAGAGACATCTTTGAAGAGAGAGAAGAGAAGTCTTTAGGGTTCGCCGGCACTTGAGTATGGGGAAACCTGAGGAAGACCTTTTTTCAAACTGAGCTCAGGTGAACTAAAATGACCATTTTGACCTTTACATGAAATATGTTCTAAATCAACGATAAACCGAACCGGACACAACAAAAATTGTTTCAACCGAAACCCAATTTAACGGTTCATAATTTCTTTAGTTCGAGTTATCAATTGAACCGAATATTGAATGAATTTAATATGGTTAAACCGAGACTAAAACCGGTCTTAACACAAAGCAATAACTAAACTGAATTTAAAACTAAAAGACAGCGTTTTCTTAACACATGATTGAATGGTGTAATTCAAAAGCCAAGATTATTCAGAAAATAATCGATATGGCAATGATTCTGCCAAGTATATGTATATATATGGTTCTGTAACTTCTGTCTTCTGAGCTATTTAACATTTACAACCAAAAAAAATAATAATTCTGAGCTGTTTACTCCCAAAGTTCCACACTTTTTTTTTTTGAGATTTTGATCAGCCGGTTTTATGGAGACATTCTTGAGGCTATCCGTAATCTTTAGCCCGGTTTACTATTTGCTTTCCTCTCCATGGATCATTGTGTCGCTTGAAATGTACGTAGAGTTTGTATGAAAGTAGCGGAGAGTGATTATGAGATGGAATGTCATCTTCGCTAGCTGACACGAGCTGCAAAGCTTTCGTAATTGAGCATGTTCTCACTGGGCAAGTAGACGACTCCATCTTAATATTTAGGCCATCGGAGGAACTTCACCCATGTATTTATTTTATGTGTATATATATCATGTAACAACATACTAACTTTTCAGTTTTTTTGTATGAATATCATGTAAAATACAATCATTACTATTTTAGGTGATATTTTGGTCATTTTGATTTATTAACATATAAGAAAAAGGAAATATGTTTATGTAATGTTTCTAACTTAAAATTTTCTCTAAGATTTTTTGGCATTCTCTTTGCATCTTGCGAAATGATAGAAATCATCATGCAGGTGTACATTTCACTAGATGTGCTCCTTACTTATTTCCAAATATTACGACAATTTCAAAGAGTGATGGTAAAATTATATTTAATCTATTATTAAAAAATTTCCTTTATTTTGATTAAAATGAACTATCTATTGTTTGATGCATTTCTACTACGTTTCATAAAGACTATCTAAAACTCCGGCATGAATGTAGTAGAGTTAAAGAGTTGTCCAAGTATATAAACAAGAATCATCAATCTAATAAAGTAAGAGTTTATGTGAAAGAATATATAATTGGACGTACTCCAACCATACTCTTCAACAAGAAAATAGATCAACCAACCTCTAACTTAAAATTCACCATCAACCAAGAACAAAGAGTTAAGGAAGCACTATGATGATCATCGTCACAACAACTATCTTATGCCTCTCCATGGCCATATTATCCGAAGGTCAAGCTAACCCTTTCCTATTGCAACTCGATCGATGGGAAATATTGCTACCAAGCATTGGTATATCGGCCATGCACATGCAACTCCTCCACAACGGCATGGTCATAATGTTCGATCGTACAGATTTCGGTACCTCAAATGTTTCTCTACCCGGAGGCATATGTCGATACGATCCTACTGACACCGCCGTCAAGTTCGATTGCAGCGCACACTCGGTTCTCTACGATGTTGTCTCCAACACATACCGTCCCTTGAATGTCCAAACCGATACATGGTGTTCTTCAGGTGCGGTTCTTCCCAACGGAACATTGGTTCAAACCGGTGGATACAATGATGGTGAGCGCGCAGCTCGAATGTTTACCCCTTGTGGTTATAGTGAAACATGTGATTGGATTGAGTTTCCTCAGTATTTATCCCAACGTAGATGGTATGCCACCAACCAAATTTTACCCGATGGACGGATCATTGTGGTCGGAGGAAGAAGACAGTTCAACTATGAAATCTTCCCCCGACACGATTCTCGGTCTAGAAGCTTAAGATTTGAGTTTCTCAGAGAAACTTCAGATGGAAGTAACGAAAACAACTTATATCCGTTCCTACATCTTTTACCCGATGGAAACTTATTTGTCTTCGCTAACACAAGATCCATTGTGTTCGATTACAAAAAGAACCGAATCGTGAAAGAGTTCCCAGAG